AGAACGTTTGGATTTGTTGATCCGTCTCGCTGATAGAGTCTTCAGAAATCATCAGTAAAAGATGGGAAGAAAAAAAGGTGAGTTAGCCACAAAAATTCAATGTTTTTTTTCGCAAAAATAATATGTGAAAAATTCGAAAAATATGTTTTTGAGCCCCAAAATCTGAATGAATTTTTTCAAAATACTAATGGAAATCTGAAGGTTACCAGTCAGAAGAAACAAAATGGTATTCCACCAACTTTGGGAAATAAAGTAAAAAAAGAAAAGAAAAAATTATTACAAAAATAGAACTCGATTTTAGAATTTTAAAATCCTTTTTTCAAACAGAAAATCCAGTGAATACATGGAAGCATTTTCTAAGATCCTGTATTTCCAATAGATCCTCTTCTCCTTCTGAGCATCTCCGGGTCTGCTTGAAAGTCCTGAATTTCTTCACAAGACGACGAGGATCCACCTTTCACGTTATATTCAACTTCTAGTCATTCATCAACACATTTTCTGTACTCACATTACTAATAGGCTAATGTTAAAAGTTAATTTTAGAAAATTTTTATATTTGGTATTTCATCAGATTCCATGTCTGTCAAAATAATGAACTGCTCGTGGAGCACCTGTGTTAGGCTGCAACGTCATAATATGTGGTTTGAATAAATTACATATGATTCTAGTCAACCGGAAGAAGACACTAACCAAACCAATATAAAAATAGAACATGTACATCTGAGTATCCGGATTAGAAATGTGATATCCTACTGTAATCCGAATAAACGAAACTGATATCAGACGCACTTATCAATCGGACTAATCCTATTCTTGTGTTCGTCCCCATTCTCTTTAATCCGACTGTTTGGTACAAGAAAATGGAAGATTCACTTAGCAGAATATGCAGTTGTTGAGAAAACTTTTACAAGAACATCAAATCCGACAATGAAAACTGGGAACTGAACAGATCCAGAGAAAGGATGGTAGATATGTATATGCCGAAAGTAATACTTTACAGCAGATCACATGAGCTTATAAAACAGTCAGACATAGTTATGAAACAAAGAATTGAAGTTGGATATGACGTGATTATTGGAGTTGCACGCCACATGAGACATGTTGTAATAAAGATAATCTCACGGTATACTAAATGCAAATCTACTGAATACAAGCCTACTAATACAGATGAACCATATCGAATATTGTAGCTGGGATTTTGTATCTAAACAGAAAAAACTGTTCAGTTGTTCTTAAATTCAGTTTTCTATTCAGTTCGTCTAGCGATGAATCATCATTAAATCTGAGCGGTTAGTGTGAACTCTTCCGATTGACTACAATCAGATGCAACTTACTCGAATTACGTTTTATGACGTTGAAGACTTCACTGACACGTACACATGTAGAAATTATACCTAATTCTTTTAATAAACGCTGACCTGAATCCGATAAATTGTATGTCATAATATCACCAATATTTTGTCTGTTGACAAAAGGAAATTTTTTATGAAACTGCGGTCAAAGATTAATTACAGATACAAGCGTGTGTACATTTTATCAGAAAGTCTTGTATATTTTATCAGATTCCGTGTTTGTCAAAATGATAAACTACTCGTTAAGCACCTGTGGTTTGTGCTAGTCTTCAACGTCAGAAAATTTGATTCGAGTAAGTTGCATCTGATTCAAGTCAAGCGGAAGAGTTCACATTAACCACAGCGAGTAGATGATGAGTGATGTGACCATACAAACTGTTTTGCATACCCATTAGAAACTGCAAAGTTTTAAGCTGTCTGACGTGAAGAATTCAAAAACTGAGAATCAACATTCACAAAAAAAATAGAACATCTGCATCAGAGTTTCCGGATTAAAAATGTGATATCTTACTGTAATCCGAATTAGCGAAACTGATATCAGACGCACTTATCAATCGGGCTAATCCGATTCTTGTGTTCATCCCACATTCTCTTCAATCCGACTGTTTGGTACAAGAGCATGGAAGCTTCATTTTGCAGAATATGCAGTTGTTATGCAACTTATACTAGAACACCAAGTTTGACAGCGATGAAAAACGGAAACTGAACATATACATTTCTCCGGAATGCCAAAAGTTATCCACAATCCATTTCCGGGGATTAACATTTGACTGAAACAACTATACCGGAAACAAATAAATCCAAAACCTGGAATCAAATAACATTTTTTGGAACCCTCAAAATTTGAAAACAAACAGATTGGTGTAGCGATTGGTGTATTCATGCGCTCAAAATCACATAAAAAATCAAAATCAAGGAAGCCCTGTATATTTTATCAACTTCCATGTCTGTCAAAATGATAAACTACTCGTGGAGCACCTGTGCTAGTCTTCAACGTCATAAAATGTGATTTGAATTAGTTTCATCTGATTTCAGTCTAGAAGAGTTCATACTAACCACTGAGATTAGATGAAAAGCTATGTGAATGCAGAACTCTTATTTCATAATCCCATTAGAGAAACAGTAGGAGATGTATGCCGGTTCAATTTTTTCAATAATTCTGGACGGAGATTGTACGCGTCGCCAAAAATGTCATACCATTTCAATATAGAAACTGCCATAGTGATCCACAACATCCGGAGGTTGACAAACACCGGGAATCAGAAAACAAATTTTTGGAAGGCTGAAAATTTGAAAAAACAATGAATATTGTAGCGATTGGTGTAATTAAATATCAATATCCCGAGATAACTCTAGTGAAGTTTTTGGCTGTCTGACGTCCAGAAATCAAAAACTTAGAACCAATGTGCGCATAAAAATAGAACATGTACATCTGAGTTTCCGGATTAGAAGTGTGATATCCTACTGAAATCCGAATAAGCGAAACTGATATCAGACGCACTTATCAATCGGACTAATCCGATTCTTGTCCCACATTCTCTTTAATCTGAATTTTTGGCACAAAAACATAAAAAATTCATTTTTTTCAGATATTGCAGCAGTTGAGCAAGTTCCACTAGAATATTCAGACTGGCAGCGCAGAAAACCGGAAACTTGTAAAACAGATTCATTTCAATATCCGGAATTTCAGGGTGAACCACAATCAATTTCCGAGGATTGACATTTGACTGAAACGACTGTACCGGAAATAAAAAATTGGAATCAAACACCATGTTTTTTTCTGAAATTCTGAAAATTTGAAACAATCAGATTGGTGTGGCGATTGGTGTAATTATGTGCTTTAAATTTATTAGTTTCTCTCAAGTGCGTACAGGACATACCGCTTTTTCAAGCTTTTCATTTTTTAGCAGTTCTTGACTGAGGAAAAATGCGTCACATAAAAAAACGGTGTTCAAAAAACCAAGTACAAAACCAACAAAGCACATGTGATGAACACCGATACATTGGTCTAATTTTCAAAAGAGTCAATGCAAGTTCTCGACAGAAGATGATATCACGTTCTCTTCATTTTTAGGAATCTTTGTGGTTTTTCAAATTGCTGGAACTGTGTTTGGCTAAAAACAGTAGACTAGGTTCTCAAACATTTCATTTGAAAACCAGTGAGTTGCGTAAAACATGTTTTCAGAACGTGAAAATTTACACCAAAATCAAATATACAATATTTTGATTTATTGAAGAAGCTGTTTATGCCGGTGCTGCTTGAGATCGGTTGACTATGCCTGGACGTGTCATCTTGTCTTTCTCAAATCGGGCTCCAACATCACATGAAGGCGTTAGGCTGACGTCTTGAAACATTGAAGAAAAACGTGAAATATCGTAAACTTGTCTTGAACTTTTGAACAAGACTTTACATTCCACTTCACCGGATGTCTAGTAATCTCGTGAGATCTGTTCTTGAGTTTAGGCTTTATCACGTCTTCTGGCGAAGACACATTTAAAGAACGAGCTGTTTATGTCGTTGCTGAAATCTCTGGGTTTATCTATTTTTAAACATTTCAGCGTCTCCTCGTGCTCGGCATTTTCGTTCGAACTAATCTTCGGAACTTTCGTTCTCCTCAAACCACATGCACTCTTTCTTCTCTAAAAAACATAATCTGAGCCGAGACTCTTCTCTGACGTCGTCCACTTCGGCAAGTACCAGGCACTGCCACGCCATTGGAATATCTTCCTCTCTTCAGAACACCTTGTTTGTGCTGTCTTCTCTCGTGCTCGAATGACTTCTCCGCTGACTGTTTTTTTTTCTCTAAAAAAAACTCTCACCCAGAGCTGAAGCAGGCTAAAACAGATGCCAGAGAATTCTTGGAGTCCACAGAAAGTGGACATGACTACAAACACATCATATAAAAATGGAAGGGTCCTTTGAAAAATAAAAAAAAACTGATGAAAAAACAGGAAGTGGTCCCTTGAGAAAAATAAAGGAAATTTTGCTGGAGCTCATGTACTAAACATCCAGGTGGCAGATGTGACGAATGTTGAGGGAAAAAATGAAAAATAAGGAGATCCAATTTTTTAGGAACACCAGGTTGGCAGAAGAGAGAATTGTTGAGGAAATTGAAAGTTATTCAAAAATCAAGCGCAGCGATAGCATTTTTAGTATTGTAGAGTCCTCATAATTCTTATGAAATATAAGTGGGTGCTGAACGGAATTTGTTGTGATCTTTAAAATTGACGATGAGCCGCTTGCACATTCTGAACCATCTTAGGACATTTATCAGATGAAAAAAAAACTGCTCCCTTAGATCCAATCTCTTAGAGTGTTTCATTGATCTTCCTGCCCTTTTTGTAGCTGATGCCCAGATCATACTGATTTTTGGTTTCATCTCCAACTTGCGCTTCCCACGAGATTGAGATCATGAACCGTAAAATCTCCATATTTTCTCTAACATCTCTTCCTATTCAACTTCTGCATCACAGAGCATTCCTTCCTCCACATTTCCCCGCCCCTTCCCTCTCTTTTTCATGCTCAAGAGAGGCTCCGCCCATTTTAAGCCATCTTTTAAAAGCAGCGTTCTGAGCACTACTCTTCATTATTGTGAGCCAGTTCCACACGAGAAGGCTCTTCTACTTCTCCTTCTTCTTTATTCCACCATGTTCTCCAGAACTGCTGTTCTCCTCTCGTGTTTGGCTATTGCCAGCTCGGGCTTCAGTGTCCGTTCATCGGCCAAGAACACTGTTCAAGATGCTCATGAACAGCTCACCAAGCTCATTCGCTGCTGGGAGCCGATCGAAGAGAACGTTGCTGGAAATCACTTCTCCGGCGAGCACCGACTCAGCGAGCCAATCTACGAGCTCTGCTCCTACATGCCAGACCCAAAAGACTTCAACAAAGGATACGTCAACGGCGTCGACATGGACTCTGATGACTACACCAACGTTCTCAGCTTCTTCCACATCACCCACCCCAGACTTGCCATGCTCAATGTCTGTCTTCAAGAGGTAAGTTACAGGAAATCCCTTCAGTAAAAGAGATATCATCTGTTCAATTTCAGGGTTTCCAATTCCACGCCGCCGGACGCCCATCGCAGACTTCGATCCGCTGCCTGTGTAAGAGAGATGGCTGCAACTTACCAAAGGGATTCACAACTTTCCTGGACTTCAACAAGCTCCCAATGCCAGAGACGGCATTCTAAATCCCCTCCCCTTTCATCATTCATCTCGCCATCCCTAATGTCTTGAATTAAACTTATAATAATCCCCCAGTTCTCATGCTCCGAAAAAAGTTTTTCCCCGATTGTTTTTCTTCCGATACCGTGATATCAATGGCCCCCTTGAATCGAATAAAGATGTGAAAGTTAAAAAACGCCTGGTTTCCTTATTGGTAATTGATAAAGATTTTTCAGGAGCACAGAATGAGATCCTCAAGACATTTTCGTTATCCAAAGAGATATGAGATCTCTGTAAAAATGTGCAAAATCGTGAAATGTAATTGTAGATTCAGCAGATAACAATCAGAAGTAATTTTCTGGTTTTATCAAGTTATTGTTCTGGAGCACAAGTTCACCAGAATACAAAAACGAAAAATTAAGGAGCATTGAATTCCGATGGATCTGATCAAATTTCGACAATATAAAAGCCGAGCGGAACCAGGTAGATCTTCAAAACTTTCAGAAAACAAAGGAACTATTTAGCATAGATTAATCGTTCACGGGACTTTCCTGGTCGTGATCTCCAAGGCCTTCATGTGCTTTGAAATGTGCCTTTGCCAGAAAACGTGATAAAGACAAAATCGAGAATAGAACCCCACCATGCATGACGTGGGCCGGGCCGGTGGAGGAATTTTCACTGGCCCGGCCCGGCTGGACCGGGTTTTTGAGGCAAATGTTTTAAAGAGTCATTTTTTGAGAGAAAATTGGATTTTTGGGAACATTTTATCAAAAGTTCTTCGTTTTCAGGTTTAAGGAGGGTCATGGGATAAATTTCGTGCTTTAAAATGATTATTTTGACAAAAAGGTATCAAAAATTATAAGAAAATTTTTGAAATTTTCGGAACCCGGGCCGGCGGGCCGGGCCTGGCCGGGATAATTTTTCTCCAGTGCGGGCCGGACCGAGATTTAGCAAATATGAACCCCACGACATCGCCAGAAATCCGGTGAAGTGGAATGTAAATTCTTGTTTCAAAGTACAAGACAATTTTCACGAGGTTTCTTGTTTTTCTTATGTTTCAAGACGTCAGCACAACGCCTTCATGTGATGTTGGAGCCGAATCCGAGGACCGCAAGATCAGACGGCAAATTATAGTCAACCACACAAGCTTATCGGAAACGTGTACTATGTTGCATGGGAAGTTTGAGAAAATAATCGAAACACCTAACGTGAAAAAGTCAAGGTTAGCAGCAAAAATCAGATGCCTTATTACCACATTTTAATCAGTGTTGCTTACATGTACATCATTATTTTTTGCTCAAAATTGGTCATCCAGAAATTTAAGGCGAGAATCATATTCAGAATACATAATTTTTTTGAATTAACTCGGGTGATCTAGTTTATACATAAAACTGAACGAATAATGGTAATAAAACTGAAAAATCGCTTGAACAATCTTGGAACCATGGTAGAAATTGGGCAGCTCAGAATCGGGAACCCAATAATCTAGAACTATAATTTGAGTGGGTTCTGAGGTCACTGTAAATAATTTTTTGTCCAATCAGGATAGTAGGAGATTCATCATAATTCTTCGATATTTTTGGAAAACTGAAAAATATAGTGTGGTGTAATCAGTGTGTCTTTTCGAGAGAAAATTTCTTGTAAAAAATTTCTCGAGGAATTTTTTGAGGAATGAGTTAATCGAAGTTTCTCGAAAAATGCACAATGCGGAATTTCGGAATTTCGTTGGTGACATTTTGACATGAGGGCCTAACTTTTGAAAATTGGGTTTCCTAGGCCACCACGCTAAAATGACCTAGAATAGGTCTGTGTTTACCTGGTGTGTTTTCTTGGTCATTTTGAAGCGGTAGCCTGAAAAATCAATCTGGCAAAAGTTAGGTCACCATGCCGAAATGACATAAAAATTACAACAGGGTCATGTTAGGCCATCTTTAGGCCAAAAATAGATGGTGGCTTAGAAAACCCAACTGGCAAAAATTAGGCCACCATGTCAAAATGTGTTCGTTTTTCTCAAAATTTTTCGAAGAATTCATAGAGGATTTTTTTGAAAAATTTCTACAGATCGTGTCGAAAGGACACACTGGTGTTAATTAAAAAAATACATCGTTATTTCTTGTGATATGTTCTGCAATGTCTCACTTTCTTTGGGGGTTCTCCTATTTCCTCCCTCATCGTGGCCAATCACAATTGCATTATTGCCCCAGTTGAACTAGACGTACGTGACGCGACACGCACGCGGTTGAGAGAAAAGACGCAGAAATAGGCGAGAGGATATTCCGTTGCCGTTTTCCGTTTTGCCGTAGGTTTTCAGATATTTTTTTCTGTTCTCGTCTTAATTGGGTGGAGAAATAGAAAATTCTGTTTGCATTTTTCTGAAAATTCGCTAATATTATAGCGGAAACTAAACGAAAATTGATTTTTTTTTAGTTAGCTGAAAAAAATTGAAAAAGCTGAAAAAACCTATCAGCAAGTATCTGTATAAGCACACCCGGTGGTTACAGGATTCTGCAAAAAACTTCTTCACGTTGTCCATGTTTGAAGGACAGAATCCAGAAATTGAATTCGAAATAACAAACGATGGAACGCGTTTGGAAAATATTTGCAAGATCACAGTGAATGCAATCACCTACAAATATAAAATTAAAGCCAACCACGGTGCCGGAGGAAACAATAAAGGTAATTTTTCAACTTTTCAAATTTTACGATTCTGCTTCAGCCAGTCGTTGGGACCTCGATATCATCGAACTTTATTGTTTTAAACTTCTCGAGTCGATTGGAGTGGGTCCTAAAACTGTGATTATTCCGAAGTGTGGTGCATCCGAACCATTATTTTATATTGGAAACGAGTTGTTGGCAGATTTCCATCAACTCGACTGAACAAAGTTAGTTTTCACAAACTATTATTTAATTTATGTAATGCGATATTTTAGTTGATACAACTGAAGCCACTCATGCTGTTGTTCACGTCCATTTTTTGGCCGTCATGCTTTCCCTTGATGACATTCACGAAGAAATTTTTGGTTTCAATGCCAACTCCGATCCAATTATAATGGATTTCATGATGTCTAATTATCGAGATCTCCAGAACATATTCTTGTTATTAGGTTGGCGGGAAAGTCTTTGTCACTTTTTCAATAGTTTATTTCTCAAAGAAAAAATAACCGAATAATTAATTATATTGTCCATCATTATCAACAACATGTCTCCAACGTTCCCTCAATTTATGGATTCCATTGCGGTAGAATCCAGCCGGGCGTGAGGCAAAGTATTGTTTGAGTGCCTCTTCGACCGCTCCACGGGAATTGAAGCTTCTTCCTTCGAAGGCACGTGTCATATCGCCAAATAACCAATAGTCGGAAGGAGCAAGATCAGGAGAATACGGGGGGTGAGGGAGAACATTCCATCCATATCCCATCAGCTCCTGCTTCACTTGTTTCGAAACATGTGGGCGAGCGTTATCATGTTGATAGTACACTTTCTTGTCTTTCAGGGCCGAACGGTCGACTGCTTTCTTGAGGTTTCGTAGTTGAGTAGTGTAGAGGTCTCCAGTTATTGTTTTGCCCTCGGGCAGAAGTTCCCAGTAGATGGGGCCGTCCACTCCCCACCACACAGAGAGCATAACTTTTTTCGGATGAAGGTCGGGTTTGGGGACATCATGTGGGCTCTCTCCTTCTCCAACCCACTGGGATTTCCTGTGGTGATTATCGTAGAAGACCCACTTCTCATCTCCGGTTATTAGCCGGTCCAGCCATCGATCGCCCGCGTGGAGAGTGAGAAGAGTAATCGAATCGTCGACTCGGCGGTCAAGGTTGGCTTGAGTCAGGTGATGAGGTATGAATCGACCAAAAAGTTTTCTCATTCCAAGAGACTTCAAACCTTCAAGGACTGTGCTATGGTGAACTCCGAATGTGACAGCTAGTTCACGGCTAGATTGAAATGGATCCGATTGCAATGCGTGCTTCAGCTTGTCCAAATCCAACTCACGGGGTCTCCCAGAGCGATCCTTTTCATCGAGCGAGAAGTCATCTTTTTCGAAACCATGGAACCAATTGCGAATAGTATTGTAGTGAGGGGCATGTGTGTTGTACACATTCTTCAAGAAAGTTTCCGAATCCTTCATCGTGGTGTGAGATAGGAAGAGGTAAATCAAAACATGTCTGATGTGAATAGCAGTGGGAACAAACATATCGTTTCAATTACAGATGAGGAGCAGGGAAGGAGATGGGGACTTGTTTATATGGAAGGTTCTTATCACCTTGTTATTCACTAAAGTCGATATCATACACAGCCTCCATATACGAGAACAGTGATTAAACAAACAGAGTGACAAAGACTTTCCCGCCAACCTAATACAACGACTATATTATTTTTTCAACCCGAGCTCGCGATGTATTGTTCAAATGTGATTCTACAACAAGACTTCAAATTGCCGAAGATGCCATTCGGAAGTGGAATTTTATGGACAAGTTGGGCGAGATTCTAGAATTGATAAACAAAGAAACAGTGGATTTTGGTTTAAGACATTCGGACTTTGACAAGAAGAAACGAAATTCAGATGAGTTTGTCGAAAATGTCGGATTCAATATCCTGGAGTTGTCTCGCGATTGAACACTGTTGTGCTCTTTCATAAACTACTGACTGTTTTTTTCTATTTTTTCATCAAACTTTATTCTACACTATAGCCCCGCCCACTATTTTTTCTATGCATCAACGTGAGTTTAACTATAGTAGTTGCCAAAGCCGTTACCAACCCTTACCCTTTTATATAAACCAGTTATCAGAGCCATCATGTCATTTTATTTTTTTTAAAATTTGTTTTTTTAATAATTATTTAATAGGGAGTCATGTAACCCAGGGTTTTCGGAAGATTTTTTGTTAGGATTACTGGTTTTTTTGAATATATTTGATTTTAAAGTATTCCAGTGATTGTACTTATTCGTTATTCAATTTCGATCGAATATAAAACTCAATTTGTTATATACAACTTGGTGTTTCTTTTGAATTTTTTATCTAGAACCTGATAGCCCAATAAGTTGTGTGCGAGTTGGGGGCCAACCTGTTCTCGTTTTTGCAATGATCGCAGTACTTTGTTCGGTTCTCACTGAGAATTCTAACAGACTTTGAAAAAAATATTTCAGAAATTTCGACAACTCAAAAACTTTTTGACTGTGGCGAAATTTCAAAATATTGTCCAATAGGAAATATAATTAATTCAATGTGCATTTACTGTAGCTCAATTACTGGTTCGAATACCCTGCTCGAAATATTCTTGTCAAATTTAGTAGTATTTTTTGAAAACTGAAAAGTATTAGATTATAATGTTTATTTTTGAATCTAATAGAAAGTTAGAAAAAAACAGGAAAACAATTGAAAGTAGACACTTTAGATATTCTCATTCGCTCTGGTTGCGATGAATAAGGTGTAGTTTTTCGGCATTCAACGGAGTTTCCATTTCTCAGCGGCGATCAGATTTGGGTCACAGGAGTGGTTGACGAACTTCGCTTGGTTTACAGACATTGTGACATCAATGATATAGACGACGAATCCAAAGAATTTCGAAATTTGGCCATTCCATGAAGCTTCCACTCTTCAGCGGAATTTGGATCGCACGAATGATTCACAAATTTTGCCTGGTTTCCTGAGAGTGTTGCGTCGATTGCGTGGTTTCCAGAATCCAAAAAGGTGGGCATCATTTTGGATTTGCACGTTTCGCTTCTTCTGATCTTCTCTTCCTCCGTGATGTGATCGCATGGGCTCGGTTCCACTGCAGTCGGTCCTGTCTGCTTGATGATTCTGATTCCATAATTCCGGAACTTCTGATTTCGATAACTAAATCTTTTGTTGGTAAAGCAAGATTCCGAGTATTCTTTCCTGTTGCAGACATTCGGGCAGCTATCGTCGGGACATTTGCATTCTTGGTCGCATTTGAGAATACATATTGAATAGAGGAGCTGAGATATAGCTTTGGGAGTCAAATTGGGACATGTCCTTTTTACCAATTAGGAAACAGAAAGGAATAAAAAAGTTCAGAAAAATAAAGGGTAGCATCCTATCAGACGGTTGCTTGTGAGAACATTCTCATAACAACATGAGAGTTCTCAAGTTATTATTGAGAATGAATGTTTTCGAGAAAACTATTTCTCTATATATACCCACCGTATGCCCCGCCCCTTCCAGAAATGATGATAATGACAAAACAAATCTCAGAATTGATGATATTAATATGTAACTAACTGTAAACAAGAATTGTCATCAATTATGAAGGAGTGGAATCATGTAGATGAGATATGAGGTTATCGTTTTGAATGCCGGATGTGCGAGAAACAGGATGGTCATAACTAATAAATTGTTAAAAAACTACAAGTTTTTGGAGAGAAAAATTTCATATGAGTATTTCAAAAAATCGACTGCTTAGAGGCGGAAATTAGCGAACATTTGAAGCGTTATGCTGTAAAACTTTCGAAAATGATGAGAACATACAACGCGACCACAGAAAAAAGGGGTGGAGCCTATTATTTTTTGTCCGCAAGTGTGTTTTGGCTGTTCGACTGACTATAACTATAGCTAGAAAAGAAGGAGTGGTATGAAAACTTGGTTCCTGATGTAATCGACTACGTAAAATTCGATTATGTAACTGTTTTCATTGAAAAGAGGGCACGAAAAAAGAAAAATGCAATAAACTAAAGTTGGAGGCAGAAAAATGTCAGGGAAAATGTAATGGAAGTCGGTAACGCATAATTTTTTGTTGTTCCCAGTAGCTGAAAACTTTTTCAAAAAGGAAATTATAATGAAAATTTCAGAAAAGTTGTCCGAAAATAGTACTTTCAGCCGAACTGGTTGTAAATATTAAAATTTTCAGCGACAACATGTAAAAATGATGTTACCAATAGATAATACTCTTGACTCTTGAGCATTATACTAACAAATTGTGAACAAAATTAGAGCATCAAAAAGTATTTTAGTTTCAGTCGAAAGCTGTCATTGAAATTTTCGCCAATTCAGCATTAATGGAGGTCTGTAACGCATGATTTCTTTACATATTCGGATTCTACAAAAAATTTCACATAAAATGATATGTGGGACATATTCCAAATAGTTGCGCGAAAAAAAATGCTAAGCAGTTTTGTCTTAAAATTTCCCGAAATTCGTCGAAAAAAATGTGCGTATTTGGTGTACTGCTAATTAGGAAGAGGAGATTAATTTGAAATAAAATGATTTCAGGGAAAACAGTTTGAAAAAAATGTTTTGGTCCCTAAACATACATAAGGGATTTTGTAAATTTTGGGTTTTTTGAGGTCGCGAAAATTTGTAGATTTTTTTAATTTTGAATATTTAGGTCGTCATTTCAAAAAACCCAAAATTCACAAAAACCCGTCATGTGTGGATAAGAAGCACCAAAAAATTTAAAGAATCCAAACGTTTCTTTAGTAAATGAGAAAAAAAATGGCACTCTTCTAGAATCACGGAACGAAAAAAAATATCACGGAACAAACAATCACGGAACGAAAAAAAAATCACGGAACGAAAAATAAAATCACGGAACGAAAATTTTGGGTAATCCAAAAATTGCTAGGACCTTCATTCAAGTACTATCCTGAAATCTAACCTTGATATTACATTTTTTGCTCAGTATCCAAAATGACACCTGAAATGTGGTATATTGAGTCCTTAAGGTACAATAGTTGATAGCGTGCATGGTTAATAGGTTACATAGGACCTTTCCCAGATGTTCTGAGGATCATGGGACATATGAGAGTTAGGTTAGAGACTGCAACGAGCAGAGTTATCAAACTTCCCGTCGTTTTTTGGGTGTCCCACATGAAGGAAACATGATGGTTCAGCCTAAGCCTATAATTGAAGAAATCTTTTCTAATTCAAAATTAGTCTTCTTGAACAAAATATTGGTCCGGAATAAGAATAGTCTTGGTCCAAATTAAGTAGAAATCGTGGCATGAAATTTCTTGCCTCGGATTTTTCATTTTTCAAAAATTCGATGATATTTTTGGGTTGAGGAAGTTTTTTTCAACCACTTCTTTCAGGCTCTTTCAGGCTGAAACGCCATGCTTCTTTTATTTGGAACACCCTAAAATGTCAGCAAGCTCAATAACTGCTCGATGTAGCTTTAAACTGAGTTTTCAGATGTTCTACAGGTCCTATGTAACCTGTTAACTAGCGTATCTTAAAAAATTGATATACCCTTTTTAGTATACCTTGGGTATTGGAAAAAGTAAAATTGATGCCAAAGTTAGTTATACGGATACTATTTGTCAAAGTAAAGAAGATTGCAGTTTTTTTGGATTACCCAAAATTTTCGTTGCGTGATTTTATTTTTCGTTCCGTGATTTTTTTTCGTTCCGTGATTCTAGAAGAGTGCCAAAAAATTGTATTTATTAACATCTTTGAAACTTTCCTGTCTCATTCTTTAAAAAAATGAACGACGCTGAGCTCGCATTTTTGTTTCCTGACTATAAGTTTTCAATGGTTACAAGGACCGACGAAAAATCATGATAATGATATTATTTTTTCTCTTTTCGAAGAAATTTTAATCTTGTCTCTGCTTAGAAATCAGAACATTATTTATTCATCTATGTTTTCTTAATTTTCAAAGAACAGACCAAACTCAATAAAAGCAAAAATATCTGCAAACAATAAGAAAAACATGATTGATATATTTATAAATAAAACCGAAATATAAAATATCATATTTTTAGAATAATGCATATTTATTCTGACCAATGTCTACAAGAAAATAACAATAAAAATGACAAATCTGAAAATTGCTCAGTGTCGTTCCAGTTGCAATATCGGAACGTGATGTTTGTATTTGTGTGACATTCTTTTCCTCTCACCCAAAAACTCAAAGTTTGGCTACTAGTCAAAAATGAGAAAAATGTGAAAACAGCACCAGTGGTGCGGAACCAAAAGATTTTCAGTCAGGTTTTTGAAAAATCACTTGTTGGGATTTTTGAGAACACGAGACCTAAAAAGTCTTAATTAATTCACATTTCTAACCGCACACCTCTCTGGCCAAGAATACTCTCGATTTACCTTGATTCTAGGGATGAAATAAAATATCAGAATAACTTTTTTTTATTTTTAAAAAACAAATGTCCATCGTTGTCTCTTCTGTTTTTTTCCTCCATCCCAAAACTAGCCATCTCCGTGAAACGACAATTTTACGACTTTTTCTATTGGGGTTGAGAGTAAATCAACTCGAAAGCCCTCTCCGAAAAGAAACAAACCAACATTTCACTTCCTTTCTAGCCCACAACCGGATATTTGAAAAAAAGATAAATTTGGAATTCATATTATTTGAATCGTTAATCAGTACATACCCGAGCTTCAAAAAAGGAACAGTTTGATTATTATTTTAGATATATTGCTTTTACCACTATTCCACAAGCCAGTTTTTAGATTTTTGTTGTCTGAAAACGAGCGCGTTCGGATGTTTATAATGCGCGCTTTTTTTTGAAATCCGAGTTGAAAGAGGTCCGGCTCGAAAGAAAGCAGCTCATTTGTAGGGAAAGGATCTTTCTCATTGGTGCCTATCGTTTTACATCCTCCCCCGTCTTTTTGACTCACGCAGATTTTTTTTCCTCATCTCCCTTTTCTGGCATTAAAAACTTGTTTGTTGTTTTTTTTATTCAAATGTCAGAGGTTTTTTTTCTGGCATTTATAAATAGAACCTGAAGTCTGCTTGGGTTGTTTAGCTATTTATACCTCCAGTTTCTAAAGTAAAAATTCCATAAAAGTGCAACATGTCCCTCATTTCTGTTGCGCTCTTTTGAAAATTGGGATGAATTGGACATCATCATTATGAGTCACCAATAATCATCTAAAATTCAGAATCTCATATTAATTTCAAGGTGCCAAAATCAGTGATTGTGTATAGAGAAAAATGAATGGGAATTTTGTGAAGCGAGAGAAAATCCTGCTCCTGATTTCACGGCAGAGTCAAAAAATTCTCAAAAAAAAAAAGATTTCAAAATAGTTTGAGATGTAGCAAGGCGGTTATGAATTATTAACCATCATGCCCTGATCCTTCTTTTTTCCTGTGATCTTCATAGTCGACTTTTTCCGCAGTAACTTTCGCTCCCTTCTATTTCTGATTTAGTTTCAAATTTTTTATGAACAAGTTTAGAGAAACGTTTTCATATGATGCTAGAATTTGTTTATAAATCGATCATCAACTTATTCCATAATACCCGAAGCATACTTGCAACAGGTTTTACCGGGAGTTTTTATCGAATTTTCGAGGTTCGGCCCGGCTCTTTTCGGTCCAAATTTCTATTATTATTTACAAAAAATTTTGAAAAATATTCAGAATTTTAATGTGAAAACTCTGGCTCTGATTTTTCAAGTATGCAGAAATGTTTTTCGGATGAGCTTCCAAAGCTTCACTGAATTTTATTATTACCGGGCTGAGAAACTAGAAAACCCGGCATCCTGCATTCTCATATATTTTTATCTACCGTAGTTCGAATGGGAATCAAATCCATCTTTCTCCGTTTTGATGCGAACCATCGCAATCATTGCCGCTCCGACGATTTTCTTTGCGAGAGAAAGAAAACGGAGGAAGAAAAGGAGGAGGAGCTCCTCTCGGATGCGGAACCAGTATGATTTGCTCTTTTTTTGATTCGCATCGAGTTCTTTTCCCTTTCCTTTGTCCATCATCACTCCCTCACATCCTATTCTCTTCAAGTTTTTTGTCTGCCGGATCTCTAGTTTGGCCAGTGGTCCGATTTGAAAGAGTTCTTGTATGTTTTGTGGGTTTTTTAAAGAAACAAAAAAGAAGAATTAGCATCATATGCACGTTTCATATACAAAAAAAATTAAAAAAAGGATAATTTGGAAATTTCATCATTTGTTTTCCACAAATGTATCCATTTCTGGATGGATCTGTTTTGAAGAAGAATACTAAAAATAGCAGAAAAATGATGAGTGCCAATTTGAATGCTAATTTATCAAAAGGCCAAGGAAGAGCAAAAATACTGTAGTCTATTTCCTTTTTTCTTTTTTTTTCGTTTATCGCATGTGTATGAGAAATGTTGAATTTCCTTGAAACTGACTAGTTTTTTCTAACAAATTCTCTCTTTTTTTGAGCATCTCATTTTTTCATGTCTCTCTCCTCCAATTAATATTCTTATCGAAAGAACTGGAAAGCCGTTCTCTCAATTTTTTCCACGAACCATTTGTTGTTGTGTTCTTCATTAATTTAGATGGAGTTTTGATGCTTCTTCATTTCTCCTAATTTATCAACACACGTATGTCTAGTACATCCTGTTGATATGACCAGATTCAATCAAAAAGTTTAAATACCCTTCCAAATGCGGTTCTCGTTTTTTATTTTCAAAAAAGTTCCCAAACAGTAACAAGAGGTCCAATTGTATTTAAAAATGATTGCCTAGATTTTTCCTGTCGAATATTCAATTGGTCAATTAACACAGCACTAACATTAGAAAATTGTTTCAAACCGCTTCCTGATTGAAACGTGAAACTGAAGTCAACATTTATTTTTATATCTTATACCTGTAACAGAAGGGCACCCACTTGGGTTCAAGGCAACGGGTCAAAAAACGCGCCCCAATTAACTTTTAGGCCAGAAGAAATTTAATAATTTCAAAGGATCTCACCTATTTACATTCAATCAACGAGTTGCAACACGTGATTTTTTCGCCCGACGCTCAAAAGTTCGATCCTCAGCCAAATAATCCAGCAGCGAATTTTTTCAAATCTCACGTTTACTGGGGCGCCATTTCCGATCCCGTTGTTTTGGACTCAAGTGGGCACCCTGACTTATATTTTTAAAACAAGTTAATTGAGCTCGACAGTGTGGGGACCATTTTTTTACAGATTTGACTGGAATTTTTCACAAAAGAATTATGATGAACTTTTGTCTTTAAAAATAAAATTACGATAGTTTTAGTGTATATCAGCCGGCATTAGTTCAGATAGAGCGTGTTATACGAATTATGGAAAATCAAGTCCAAACAAGTTTTAGTGGTAGCAGAAAGGTACCGGATATTTAAACGATTCAAAGTTGAATTCAACACAAGACGAAGCAGACACAAAAAAAATACCAGACTATAAAAGAAGGACGGCTTTCTCTGAAAAAAATAAAAGGTTCCCATCTTTGTCTCAACCGATGACAAGAGCCGCTTGGCCAGATGAGCGCAAATTGCAGCAATTTGTAATTCTCCAATGTTATTTCTGTGCCTCCCCCTCTCTTTATTCACAATCCGTTTTTTTTCATTTATCTTTTTCTACCCAAAAAAACTTTTCTTTCCTTTTCTTCCCGATTCTTGATTTCAACGTTTGGTTCCTCGCCTAATACAATTTCTTTTGTTATCCTCTTCAGTTTCCGGGATTGTTTACAGTACAAAGATTTCGTGCGCTTTCAGAAGAAAAAAATTTTAGGAACAAATTACGTCATTTTATCTCTCTTTGACTGCTGCTGGTCAGTCTGAACTGAGAGAGCCGTGTTTCGTTATGAATTTTGAAATAATGATCACATCTATCGTCATTCGTGTCTTCATCATCATTTTCCAGTTAGTATAGTTACCTCTAAATCAAAACAAGTTTTCTGATTGCCACTTCTGGGATTATACCATTCCCAAAGCAGACTACGAGGCGGGTACTTGTTATCAATAATGAGAAAAATTATATTGTTTTCACCCAACCCATTTTTTCATCTAGTAAATAAATTTTTACGTTAATTTCACTCATTCTTGTCGACAGGATGGCAATAGCAACAACCGGTAGTCTTTCATAGTAAGTGAAGAACCTAAAAATGGAGGCTAGCATATAATATTTGTGTTATCATGTAAGTATCGTTAGATATTTCGATTTAATTTTTTTACTAGGGAAGATTGGAACTTGCATGTCGAACTTTCAGATGAAACATATATCACTCGAAAGCTGACGACAACGCCTTCCCAAAACTGTATTATGTCTTTGTTAAAAAGTTAGATAATGTAAAGCCTTTTCTAAATAACCACTCCCTTCGTTTCTCACACTTTTGCAAAGTTTCAATCTTAGTTATCCACTCGAACTTTCCTGTTGAAAGTTAGATTTTGCCTGTTCAAAGTTAGAGTATTTGCCTAAAAGTGAACAGCTAAAAGCTGCAATTCGATGCGATTTTCGGCATTCATTCCGATGCTCCTCATCCAGCATCCCCCACTATTTCTTCTTGATTGAGATTGACTAGACAACATCCGCTCCGTTTTTTTTGTCTTCTTCTATCGTCGTTTCAAGACCGACGACACGGCGACCTCTTCTAATCGAGCTCAGTGCTCGAAGCTTGGAAAGGAGAGAAGAAGGGGTCGGAGATGCCGTGACATCTTCATTTGAGTGTTGTGAATCGCTTTTCATTCTATTCTTTCTTCTCTCTTCCTCTCTTTTTTCCAGGGACAGAGAGACAGGTTGAGTAAAAGTTTGGGAGAAAAGTAAAGAAGGAAGAACACAAATTCCGGATAATTTGAGATGGAAAATACAAAAAATGATAACAAGGGCCCAGTTAAATGAATGAAAAAAATATAACTGTAGGGTTTGAGATACTCTGTCTTTTTAATAATAAATCGGGAATGAAAAAATCGAATTTGAAAAAAAACTTATTAGCCCCCTGGGAGTTGAACTGATGGGTCTTACAGCGCCGGTCAGTGAGATGTACGAAAACATGGTTTTTAGTTGGTTTTGACAACTTTCAGGAATCTGGAGCTCGGTTGTAAAGTTTCCGTGATTACATCGGACAGTTTGGAAGATATAAAACAAACCTAAATTGAAGATTTTACGTTTACAGAACATTACAAATACTGGCTTCCAGTTATTTGCTGGTTTCAGAAAGACATATGTTTTTCAAGGTTTTCAGTGCAAAAAACGGCCAGTGAAGGCTGTCTTTTGTGAACTGGCATACAAAGTTTTTAATCTAAGTCTGTTTTACTTCCTCCAAAAACTTCAAAGTGATCGGAAACTTGAAAATCGAGCTCCTGACTATCGAAAAGGGACAAAATGAAAAAAATCAAATAAAAAACAAATTGTCTACGTCTTATTGTCCGGTACTAGAAGAAAAAAGCACGAAAGCCACGCATTGTATATACAGCAATGTACACCGTCACTTCAGAGAACTCCAAAAAAAAAATCAAAAATCTTTTCTTTCCACTTTGAAATCAATAAGTCACCGTCTTATTTCTGATATTCAAATCCTTACATTAGCTTGTTCAAAGCAGAGTGACGGTGCAACTTCTGCCATCGTAGCTCAGCCGGTAGCAACTCAGCACCACCGGTGGAACTTTTGAACTGTAGTAAGAGTCCTAGAGTGACCCAATGAGTTATAAAATCAGAGTGTCGTCGAGAAGATATCTGAAAAATCGGCTAATCTCATTATCCGAATTTTCCAAAAACTGATAATTTTGGAGCTGGCTGAAAAAAAAGTTACAAATTCTCACATCCGACATGGAACCTATCTCTTTTTTTCAGCTGCAAAGAGACATGGGTAAAACAGATATTAAATTCATCTCCTTTTTTTCTCTTGAAATATTTCATCTTCTCATCCACATTCCCGTCCCTCCTCCTTTTTCTCTCTTTTACTTGTGTTGTTTGATTTGATCTGTGCCAGCCGGGTCCTTCTACACTGCTCCTATTCTTGTCCTGAATGAAAGAGAAAGACGTCTTCTTTTGCTTCTTCTTCTTGTCCCCGCCGTCTTCCTTTCTTCTTCTTCTTCTTTTCCTTCTTGACATTCATCGCCTGTCGTTAAAAGAAATGTACCCACACCGCCGCCGACACAACTCAAGAAGCGGGGATTCGAGGCATCTAGAAGCTCTTGGAGCAAAACGCAGAACCTAACTAGATCTCCTATTCTTCTTATTTTCTACTCGTTTTCTCTCTCTCTCCAATATTCTGATTCGCTTTTTTCTGAAACCATGGTCAGAACTGTTGATTTCCAATGGTAGCCTGGTGTCATGGGTTACTGTAGTTTTGGAAATGCAATAATTAGGTCTTTCAATATTACAGCGTTGTAGCTATCTATTTCCTTGAGGTCCCAGCTTCCGATTTCTGTATTCCGGGATGCTATATGTAGTGTTGAAAAATGGAGACATTGCGAAAACTATTTCTTCGAAATCTCAAAAGTTAGTCTTTCGACATATAATTCGAATAGTACACAATTTTAGGGTCATTGGAGCACAAAGCAATTTAGGGGTACAAAATCCTCAATTCGGCGTACAAAATACCGGAAAAATTGAGCTTTGTACTCCCGAAGTGTGGATATTGTACCTCTAAATCACTGTGTTTCTCCTTGTACCCTCCGAATTGTTGTACCCTTCAAATTATGTGCCTAGAAAATTATACTGAAAAATGATAAATCAAAATTTGAGTAGACCAGTTTGTTACAGTGCTCCAATTTCTCAGGAAAAGTTCAATTCCCGTTTAGGAAGCCTTGACTGATCAATCACATTCAATGATGCCAAGTTCAGAACTTCCGCATTCCAACTACAACCAAAATTTTGAATAATGCAACAAACTACCAGAAAGTTGGTTGGAAAGAAATCCACCTGTTCTTGATTTTTTCTGCTTTGTTTCTCCATTAAGTTTTTTTTTCAATTCATGAAATGAATCCAAAACTCATGATCAACAACCTACTCCCTATTGTGTTTGACGTCATTATTTCAGCTCTTGTTTAACCAAAAAAATTTTTTCACAAATACTTTTATGTTTTGTTTTTCATATCCTATTTTCCGGCTAATTAGCTGGGTATACGTTCTTTGTAATCAAAACATGCCTGAGCTACACCAAAACATTCAAAATCCGCTTTTTTGATCGAAATTAGTTTTTGTGATCCTATGAGTCCGTGTGGGAAGATAAGTAAGCGCGAAAAAGGAAGAAAGGACTTAGACCAAAAGTTTACACGCGTTGTCTCTCTCGAGAAAGAAGCTTACAGCGGGGTGACGTTCCCAAGAAACTTGATTTCGGTCCGTCCCAGCGCGAGATTTCTTTTTTTTTCATTTTTCTTGACATGTCCTCTCGTTTGTTCGTCTCCCCGCTTTCACCCATTTCACATATCAAATTCAAAACTGACACCGGAAGATGAGAAAGGAAGAGAAACACTGGAAAAGAACAAAAACCGAAAAACTAAAAATCTTTGATTTGAATACTCTTTCTATTCAATCTTCTCTCCACTAGTTCTCGTCCATGTTTTTCGTTTCATATCTATCAGAAATAAAAAGATGGGGTCATGAACCTTTTTTTCCCGTTTCTCTCATTTTTCATATGGATATTTTCGATTCATTTATGGACTCTTTTGCCTTTCCTCTCTAGTCAACTAGCCTTTCAATTTTGATGCACTTCGAGTCGTTTTGAAGGTTTTGTAAGAGGACCCGGATATCCGACCACCCAGTCATATTGCCATGTGAGAGTGTTTTGTTCGTTTTCGCATAAATTTGGTAGGCTAAGGAAAATAATGGTGGAGACTATCAGAAAATTTTGAGTGTTCATTACATTTCTGATCATTCAATCGTACCGTATTCTAATTCAAGCTAAAATTTTTGATGTTTCGTAATTCTGATTGGGTTTTGAGACACTTATATCTGGTTTTGACAAGAACTCGAGATAAAAAATGACAAAAAATCATGGATGTCGTTCAATTTAAAATTTACTAATTTCAAACTAGAAGTGTTTGGGAAATAGTTCGGAAATGAGGAAGTTCTCAAAACTTTCAACATTTGGGAAGAAAGTTGTAAAAGAGTGTTTCCAATTTTTTTGGAATCAGAGATTTTTCGTACTACGGTTTTTTTTTCGGACTACGGTTTTTTTTTCGGTCTAAGAACGTGCAACATTTCCGGGACTCGAGCGGATAATTTTACAGTATTTTTTTGAGTTTTCGGAATTTATTACTTTTTCTTTGCATTTGTGATTTGAAAGTGAAATTCCGTAACTTGAAAACTCTGAAATTTTGAATATCGAAATTTTCCGAAATCCTATAATTTCCAAAATTGTATTTTTCAACATTCCAAAAATTTCCAAGAAGGCTATTCAGAATATCCCTATGAAAGTAGATAAAATTCAATAACATTGGTTTCTCCCGCCTAAGAATGATAGGACACCTTTCGAAAACCGTTTGCCATCAAGTACTATAAATATTGTGAATGTTTTCTTTTCTATCATTTTAAGTATTTTTGGATTTCACACATATCACATTCATTCTAGTTTCGAAGATACCGTACTTCCTTTGATAGAAGCCCTCCTAAACCATCAACATTGAGCTCACTTATCTCGATTCCTGTAGAAGATGTAAAACATTTCTCAACTGATAAAATATTGGTGATATTATGATAAATATTTTGTCAGTTAACTTTTCATATCTCTCACAAGAACCGAAATAATTGAGCTCAAAGCTGACGGTCTAGGTGGGCTTTAATTAGAGGAGATTCAGTATGTAACAGTTGCATTAAGATTTTCAGAAAACTGCTTTGAATATTTCGAAAACTACTTCATTAACTTGGAAAACGTTGATAAGAATGAATATCTTAGAAAATGTTGATAAAAATGAAGACTATGATCAGATATGGCTCCCTTGGTATTAAAACTCGAATATCGCCAAACTTTTATTCTGCGCCATCTCTAGACCTGCGTCATATGATTGCCCTATCTCAAACCTTCTCCCTATATGAGCACTCTCCCTTGAGTGAGTGAGTCGTCAATTGAAGGGTACGAGACAAGTGTCACCCCTTTGACGAACAGCCCTATAATTTTTGTTCCCATTTTCAAATCTCATGCAACATCTCGTTTTTCCCCGAATCCCATCAGAGAACCCAACCACTCTGGAAGATTGGAAACTGAACTTTTTTTTAGGCTTTTTCAAGTTTTCCTTTCCTTTAATGACTTTTCTCTACGCACACATCACGTCTAAATCTGTCACTGATTTGTCCGTCATACTCTGTCTGGCGAAAATTCCCCCAACGCGAAGCTACTTCAAATTTTAGAACCAGCTGAATTTATGAATGTTTACGTGTCTAGCGCTAGGGGCAACCATACGATGCACTTGACTTTAGTCTTTTCAGGTGTTTTTTGTTTCATTCTGAAAACGAAGCTTGTGAAACGTTGCTGATCTAGTTAAAGTAATGCGATTTCACCTGTTTGTGATCTTTCTTTTCTTTTCCAACTCATTCTCTAAGAAAGTTTCAGTATATTTTACATAGACATTTTCAAGTTTAGGAGAGACTGTTGACCAAACGCAACAGGTGATATTCAATAGGTACCTCTTCAAGTCCCTCTTCACTCAGCATTCATTAGCTCAACCCTTGAGCTGACTTGTTGTCGCTTTTATTTCTTCCCTTTTGGAAATAATTTTCATATGTTTACAGAAACAGTTGATAGTGATCCACGGCATGTGGTAGATGTGCGTGAATGGTAATCATGGAATCGGCAACAAGACATCGTGCCGATATGATTTCGTTCTTCACGTTCGACTCGTACATCTCAATTGTTGGTGTTGCTTATACGGCTGTCGGTTAGTTGAAATCTGAAAAAATTAAATTTAAAAAATTACTCATCAATTTTTCAGGTCTCTTGGGTGTTTTCTGCAATGTTACAACTGTGGTCATGATCTTAACCAATCGAGTATTCCGTCTCTCCGCATATACCATAATGGCAAACGTGGCTTTGGCGGATAGCATTGTGATGTTGATCGGTAAGTATAGGAATTGAATGATAGCAAAGTAGCGAACCAACGATCATTATTTGCATGTCTTAATAGAAATTTTCAAAAGAAGTAGGGGGCACCCGGATTTGAACCGGGGACCTCTCGATCTGCAGTCGAATGCTCTGCCACTGAGCTATACCCCCACATGGGCATTGTGAACACAATAGCTAATAAATAGTGTGTCGAAACCGTTTCAATCAGCTTATTGTTTAAATAGCGCAGCGTGAAGCTTCCTTTTGTAAACATTATGACAAAAAAGAGGTAGGAGTAATCGGATTCAAAGTATAAAAATTCACTGCATATGAACCCCATAAAGTTGACTTGTTAAAAAGATCTTAATAAAATTTTGAATTTTGATTTTTTTGATAATTTATGAACAGACAGAAAAAATCAATTCGTTCTGTGTTAATCGAAAATTCAAAAAAGAAGTAGGGGGCACCCGGAGTTGAACCGGGGACCTCTCGATCTGCAGTCGAATGCTCTGCCACTGAGCTATACCCCCACATGGTCATTGTGAGTACGAAAGCTAATAAATAGTGCGTCGAGACAGTTGCGGAAGCTTTTCGGGACAAATTTTGAACGGCTCTGTGTGCAAATAAACTATTCCGCTGCTTTGGTTTGTGAGCATTGTGTAAAAAAAGGTCAATATATTTTTTGATCAAATTGATCTGTATCAAATTATAAAATTTGATCTCTATCAAATTTGATCTGATTTTGATCAAATTTGATCTGTAAGTTATCGTGTTTCCTCTAGAAGAAGCTAATCCAAACCATAAACTTTTAGCTCAATTATTTCGATTACTGTGAAATTTATCTAAAAAAATTTCAACTGATAAAATGCTGGTGATGTTTTGATGAATTATTTATTAATTGACAAAATTTTGATATCTCTTACAGTAATCCAGATAATTGACAGGTCGCGTAGTCTTCTAATAGAAAAAACGCAATTTATTAATTTCAAGAACTTCATTTTTGTGATCTATGTAGGGTGCTGTCTCTTAATGAAAACTTGAGACAGTATCGAAATTTTTAGTGCAATGTTTTGGATTTCTGATTTTAAAATATTGTCTGATTGCCGAAAATATCCAACGCACCAAGAAATACCATCAGTACAAAACGTCCCGCCTTTATTGCAAAAGAAAAAAAGGACTAGGGGGCACCCGGAGTTGAACCGGGGACCTCTCGATCTGCAGTCGAATGCTCTGCCACTGAGCTATACCCCCACATGGTCATTGTGAGTACGAAAGCTAATAAATAGTGCGTCGAGACAGTTGCGGAAGCTTTTCGGGACAAATTTTAAACGGCTTTGTGTGCAAATAAACTATCACGCTGTTTTGGTTTATGAGCATTGTGTCGGGATAATAGAAAATTGTACTACCACTGATATGTTCCCCCGTAACTGCAAAAACAAAAATTATAGTGAATCTAGAAAACAGGGCTTCTAGACGGAAGCTGTAATTTTTCGGCATATAGTTTAATGTGGTCTGTGAATAAACAGCCAAGTATAGAGTACCTCATTGTTAAAACTTTGGCGAAAAACTGGACCGAACACTAAAATCAGTTTAGGGAATTTTTCGAAACCCAACTGAAGCAAATTTTATCACTCAAATATATTTCACGTTTTTTAAAAACACAATAGCGCATCAAAAAACAGAGCAAAGCACCTAAAAAAGAAGTAGGGGGCACCCGGAGTTGAACCGGGGACCTCTCGATCTGCAGTCGAATGCTCTGCCACTGAGCTATACCCCCACATGGTCATTGAATACAAAGACACTAATACATAGTCGTCGGAAAGCGGTGCGGCCAGTCCTCGGAAGAGATAACAATCCGATTTGTTTGCAAATAGAAAAACTTCCAATTTGTCGGTTTATGTGTATTGACCAAGTGGACAATAAGAACCGGTTTTGTACGAGATTGTAATACTTTTCAGGGTTTGTAATTTTTAGAAAAATGAAATACAATTAATGGATTCGAAATTCGTTGTTTATTGAAGAACAGAAAAGGAACTAAAAATATAAGAATACCCGTTTACAGAGAAACCTATAAATCTGCTAATGAATAATGTAAAAAAATTTATCTAAATAATTTTCAGCCGGTGTTGCTTGTGGAATGGATGTCATGTGGCCAAATCCAAACGATCTTACTTCATTTATTCCGAGTTTGGAGGAACCATTAAACACGGTAAGCTCACGTCTTCTCTTTTTTATTTGTTCTACAGTATCCCCAATCAAACTACATTCTCTTATATCAAACATCGAATTTCAGGTTTCCCCAATACCACTTCGAAACGACACGAAAATGACAGGTGATTCCTCAGAGACTGGGAATATTCATGCTGTGCTCTCCTTCTCATTTGTTGCTGCATGGACAGCTGGAGTGGTTAGTTTTTTTTTCCATGTGCAATTTGAAATTTATACGGGGGCGGATTAAACAATTGACTCATTGATGGGGAAGTTTTTTTTTTGATGGAATTTTTAATTTTCTGGTTTGGAGAAATTCCTGGTTTAGAGAGAAAGAATTGTTTCGGAAAAATGTCAGAAAGGGATTTTTCAGATCAGCTACGCGATGCTCGGAATGAACCGATGTATAGCCATATGCTACTACGGTACCAAAGCAAGAGCACTGAATCAAGTATCTGTGGCTATCGCTTGTTCAGCCAGCACCTGGGTCATTGGAGTTGGAGCTGCATTAGTTGGAACTCTCTCCCAACCAATGATTGGTATACAGAGAACCATGTGGAGTATTAGTTTTCTGGAGCCAAAACCACATACAAGTATGTGAAACAGTTACAGTACCAGTCACTGGGATACAAAGTTCTTCAGTTGATTTTGACCATTTTCAAAAGTCTGGAGCTCGGCTGTCAAGTGTTGGATCACTTTGAAATTTTTAGAAGGTGAAAAACAGGCCTAGGTTGAAAACATTTTTTTACAGAATTTTTTGAAATTTCTTATTTTTTCAGCTATTTGCTAATTCCTGAAGGAAATTTTCTTGTTTTGTACTGATAATGTGAAAAAAATAGGTGTTTTCCAGATATCGGCAAATAAATGAAAAACCAAACAATTTTGAGAAACTCAGTAAATTCGAAGTTTCAATCTAAGTTTGTTTTATATCCTCCATAGTTTTCAAAATGATCCAGAACTTGAGAGCCAAGCTCCAGACTGCTGAAAATGGTCAAAACCAACTGAAAAACACGTTTTTGCATATCTCATTGACAGGAACTGTATATAAGGCGGTGAAAAACTTACAAGTTTCAGCTCTGTTTTTCACAATTCTCTGCGCGGCGAACCTTTTCGGACTTGGAGCTCAATGGGTTTGCTCCACGTTGGTGCTGCTCAAAATCAGACAGGTTAAGAAGAAAATCAGCAAAAACAAATTGAATCAAAATTCGGCGAATCGATTCCGTAAACAGGTAATTTAATTTTGATGATGTTAGGAATTTTATACTTACGTTTAATTGTTAGGCTCGCCTCACATTTCAATTCTTCTACCCATCAATTCTCTGCACTATCTCAACGTTCCTGTTTTTCATCAAGCCATATGCCTTTGAGTATCTTTCCGGATGGCAATTGGTAATCCTTCACTTGGTAAAATTACTGTTTTTTTGTATTTTTTTTTTGTAACTGATTTTCTAGCTTTGGCTGTGCAACCACACTTGCAATCCATTCATCTACGCCTATTTCAATGATAGAATGCGAATGACCTACAAGGAGATCTTGACTTGCGCTGCAATCCGATACCAGATCAGGAAACGACGATCGAGTCATCCATTCAGAATGCACGGAAGACACAATGTGTCAAAGTAAGTTCCAAATTTCAATGTTATCAATGTTTTCAATTATTTCTAATTTTCAGACGATCCAACGCCGCTGGAATGAAATCCACACGGATATCAGCCCGATCAGGACGCACCAACCGAGATGGAAACTTTGTTCGAAACTCGTTACAAATGCAGGTGAGATCATGAAAAACTTCTGTGGTTTATTCTGCATATTGTCCTTTTCAGAGTCGCGACTTTGAGCAATTGTGCGAGTTCATCATGCGTGTCAACCCCTTGTACGATTCGAGTGAAGGATGGCGGGAAAGCAGTGACGATGAGCCATTTCAACCTGAGGTATGAGTTGTAAATATATAGTTGGCACATATTAAAACACAATTGACAGTCAGTTTCCTAGAGATGAGAAAAAATAAGGGAGTGAGAAAAAAAATGGATAAATATGGGTTTCACGAAAACAATACCTATATTCTGCGGTGTGTTATTATCCAAGAGACCTCATCGTCTCTGTAAGTAAAGCTTGTTGTAGCTAGGCCACCTGATTCCTTTTTTAATTTTCAATCAGGTTTTAGGAATTTTGAAAAAATGAGAAAACATTTGAATCTACATACATTTTTGTGTTTTTCAGAATTAGACTAATAACTGCAAAAACTCGGAATTTTTTAAAAATTATGTGAATGCAAAGTTTTCAATTTAGGTCTATTTTACAATTTCCAAAATTTTCAAAGTGATAGGGAACTTGACAGCTGAGTTTCAAACTTCTAAACATGGCCAAAATCGGCAATAATCCACTGAAAAGTGTACTTGTGTATATTGAATGGTACTGTATTTGCAACATTTCAACAAAACAGCATCTTTCTAATCTATCGAACAATCAAAAAAATATTTCCAGTTCACCAAGGAGCTGGAATCTGTCCATAACGCCGGTGGATCATCCCGTTATGACAACGACCGAGAGGCCAAGTCAATCGTATTGGATCTGGGCCGTCAGACTGTTGAGCACTGGGTCAAATTTGCCAAAAAGGCGAGCATCTAACATTTCATTCAAATTTTCATCTATGATCTCTTCTATCAATCTCATTGTTATTGGTTTCTTGTCTAACCTCTCACATCATTTTTCCCTTTTCAAGTCCCTAATTTCCTGTTACAAGTGTGCCAGGAAAAGTTCATGTGAACTTTGAAAATTTCGAATCTCCCCCAGTCTCTTGTGTTGTGTTCCTATCCTCGACAGAAAAAGAGTATTCTGTGATACTTGCTTCTTCAATTGCATAGTTCTCGGTTTCCCGATGGTATTCCGCCCCAAACATATAATCATGTCTTCTTCCTCCCCGACTATGCCCTCCAAAACATTGATCACCTTGATTACTGTTTTATTAACGTCATGAAAATAAATTATCATCTGGTAGCAGACTCTTGGAACAGGGGTGTTAAAAATTTGACGGGAAAATGGGACAGGGACAGATCATGAAGAAGTGACGATGGGACCAAAACGTTGATAAGCTCGATGGTGAAGAAACGAGATGAAACTGTATCATGTAGAGATCAGTAGGCACGGAGAGAATGAAGAATTACAAGTTGGCGACGCGTGCTGAAGTTTTGATGATTTGTATTTTGGAAATCAAACTTGGACTGGCTAATTTTGAGAGATAAAAAATCACTCAAAATTTAATTCATCCAATTGTTTACCGTGAAGGCTTTTATAGCACTTGCACTTTAAGCTCAATCATCTCCTTTCCTTCAAACGATATCAAAAATTTGACAACTGATAAAATGTTGGAAAATTTAAGGAAAACATTTTATTAGTTGTCTACTTTTTGATATCTTTCATAGGAATCAAGATTATAAAGGTCGAAATGACCATTACACGTATGGGAGTCTTCTATTAGAGCATTTACAGTATGCACAGTACCGGTCAATAAGGTCCTGGGTTTTTTAGCTATTTGTCGATTTCTGATAGACCCTCTTTTTTGAACTGTTTTTGTACTGAAAACGTGAGAAACCAAGTGTCCTTCGGGAATCAGCCAATAACTGAAAAACTAGGAATTTTCAAAAAATCATGGGATTACAAAGTTTTGGATCTGTGCCTGCTTTACAGTCTCCGAAACTTTCAAAATGATCTGAAACTTGACAGTCAAGTTACAGACTCCAAAAAGTGGTCAAAATGGCGGAAAATTAACCGAAACATACGTTTTTATTTATCTTATTGACCGGCACTCTAGCTCAGATACTAGTCTGATTATGTAGTCTTTTTAATTCTGCCTTAAACTTCAATTTTCCGCTTTCTTGTGGAAACTCGAGACTTACGATCGGTTGGCTCTGGAGTGCGTGGTCTGAGTTGTCCTGGCACTTGCAATGTGGCAAGTGGTGGCGGTGCGGGACTCTGTGGAGCTGCGTCACGAGTAGCAACCGATGCTCCTTCGCCATTGTTGATGGAAGTTGGTTCGATCACTGAAAATTCAAAAGTTCTTCTGACTCTAATTGTAAGGTCATGCACTCCAATAATGAAAACACCACATTTGCTAAAGAGATTAGACGGATTACCTACCATGGATCTTGACGTCGGCTTCGGCGTCAAGCAGAAGACGCATGCACGATGTGCACGCTCCCATTTCTGTCGTTGAACTGAAAAAAGAAAGGAGGCGGGTGTGGATAAAGTTTCGCAAATAGCAGGATCACGAGAAGAGATTAAGAACATTGAAGACAAAAATAATTTGAGAAACAAAAAGATTCTACCAACGTAATCCAAGAGCAAAAATGTCTTGAAAACCATTTGAGGAAATTATAATAAAAATGAGTGGGGAGAAGTTGAGGTGCGTGTTTGTGCCAAACAAACGAGTTTGAGCCTCAAATCAATATTCTCAGAAGTTGAGACAAGTCAGAAGGGAAGATAATTGCTCAATGTTGACAACTTCGGTGATATGATGAACTTTTATTACAGGTTAGACAGTTAGATGATCAAAAACATCAGAAGATGTCCGATGCTCAGTTTTTTTTTTAATGTCTGAAAAGAAAGATACACAAACATTTGGGAATATAAATAAAAAACTATGGTGTTCATGTTTTGTCAATCAGAGGAAACGGAGCATCAGATTCTAACTTCAATGAAACAAAAAAAAATAGATAGAAGCCCTCATGTCTTTTCTGTTCAATTCCAAGAGAAATCGAGTTCTAGAAACTTTAAAACAAAAATACAATAGAAGGTATTGTGATTTTTTTTTGAATAGTATTATATTACGAGCGGACCGGGGCTGGCTTTTTCGGAAATTCGTTCATGCCCGTTCCGTTTTGGCTTCCAGTAATTTTTTCTTTATCTTTTTAAAATTCTTTTGAAAAATAAAAATGAAATTTGTGCCGAATTTACAGTTTTTGAAAACGGAGTGTTCTTAATAACTGACAGTAAAAAATTGTTGAAAAATTTCTGAAATTTCAAAATTTTATCAAATGGGAAAACCTGAGCCTGCCGGGCCAGGCCCTGAATTTTAAAGTATGGCATTATTAACTCAAAATGATGAGGTCTTGAAATCATTGAAAGTGCTGAAATCAAATTACTTGACATTTTTTTGAATATTCTTTTTTTGTTCAAATAATATTTAATTTTTTAAATTCAAATATTTTTTTAACTTCATCTAGTGCAAGAGAAAAGCACAATGAAGAATTGGAAATTGAAAAATGTCTGTTTTTGGCACGATCGAAGCAGGTGCACAATCTGGACTTGAACTTTTCCCGAAAAAATTCTTAAAATGTTTACCCTTCAGATTAAAAGGAAGGAACAAAAATTGCAATCGGACTCCACGAGAAATGGTGCATTTTGCTAGACGTGGACAGATTTCCTTGAACTCATTCACTTAAATGAAATATAAATGACTCAAAAAACTGAGAATAAAAAATCCTGTCTGGAATGACCAGACATGGCCAAAATTCCTAATTCAGCAGTAATGACGTGCCCGTTCGTCTGACTGAGAAAACAATGAGATACGTAAACAAGGGAAGTCTTTATCTCTTTATAGAAATCTTTATACCTAAAATGGTTACGTCAATGATAGAGAGTAACAAGCGGTCTAATTTCCGAGACAAACCCATTTATCTAGCTGAAATGAAAAAGAAAAACTGACTAAACAATGTTGATAAAAATGTAATAGTTACTTCTGTTTTCAGCCTTTTTTCTGAAAATGAGCGAGTGTTTGTTTAGTAAAACTTGGTAACCAAACATAGCCAGCTGGCTCAACAGAAAGCCTAAGAGCGGAGAAAGGGGAAAGAGAAGAAAAAATTGAAAGTGGATTCAAATTAACGGGTAGCTTCTGACTGCAAAAGAAACCCTTTATGTCCATCGTCAAGAACCCTTAGGGAGTCGTATGGATGTGTACTCGTAGGAGGAATTGAATTAGTCAAGCATGAATTTTCATTTATTTCAGGGTATGGCAACAGTATTTTTTGTCGTACACGTGTTTTGTTTGCTAACAATTCCATAAAATAATAGTGGTGCTTTTCGAATAATAAATTATTCAGAAAGGGATTGCTCTCTAAATTAACCAGCGAGTGAAATTCTGGTCATAATTCTATTTCAAAATGATAAAGTTGAAATAAGTTGATTTCGAGTCTCTTACTAAGTAACAATTATTTGCCAGTTTGTTCCAGAAGCTTCAGAGGTCACAAATCACATACAGAATTCTCAAAAAGTTTTTAATAACAAAAAATACACTTTGTCAGTTGACTACTTCTTGATACCATTCACAGGAATTGAAATAAATTTGATCAAAATCATACTTGTAACGGGCCGGGCCGGGCCTGTCATTCCACAAATTTTGTAAATTTCAAAAAACATAAGGGGGACCCTCACGTGATTTTTTTCGAGTTTTTAAGAAATATTTTTTGATCAAACAGACAAACAATCCAAAAAGCACAAAAAATATAGAAAATTTTATTGAGAGCTCAAAATTCGGTTCAAAATGACAAAATTTTTGCTACCGGGCCTTCCGGGCCCGGCCCGGGCCTTGAAATTTTCCTCAAGCCCGAGCTTTGGCGGGCCGGCCCGGAATTTTACAAGTATGATCAAAATGTGAAAAGTTACTGTATAATTTGGAGTTTTTGACTTTCTTACAATTACTAGCCTAGAGAAGATTGGTTGTAAGAGAGACATCAACTAAGACGGTAACTTTGAAATTTTTGAGGTGTTTTCTGTTTTACGGGATGTTTTTCTCTAGTAGGTGATTGCACGAAAAAATTTATCCGATTATTGGTTCTTGAAATTTTTAGGGCAAGCGGACAACTACTATTATTTGATCACACATAGTTGCCCAGTTTTACCTGACATAATCGTTTTTAAATTGAATTATGGCCAGAAGCGCACAAAAAGAGAATTTTCTCCACGTTACTGAAAACCTGACAACGCAAAAATAATGTTCCAGAGTTGTTCAAAAACTAGTCACATTTCGTAAGAGATTTTTCAAAAACAAAAATCTAGGCTACAATTTTTCCTGTAAATTGCGTCACTATTTTTTTTTCATTTAACGGTTCCTTTGACGTAAAAATGGTATCACAAATTTTGTACGTTTTGTAATCAGCTAGACAATTAACAAAAAATGAAACCAACTGTCAGGAACTATAGTATATTATTATAATCAGTTATGTTGTGTAGGCTGATATTAGTATTATGTTGATCACATGACGAAAATACTTTGAAACCGATGCGTTGATGGGTATCTCTAAAATAAAGAAGATTCTAAGAACGGCTTAGAGACATTTCGCAACTGAACGTTTAGCAAACGTAGTAATACAGACTATTGAATAGGACTCGGATCTCAAAATACATTTTAGGGATTTAAAATACCGTAAACTGTCTAATACTAACGCCACCCCTGAAATTTAACATTGAGACTATATATCTCGTTTCCTGTGAGAGGTGTCAAAAAGTAGTCAATTAATAAAATATTTTTGTTATTATGATAAACATTTTTGTAGTTGATCACTTTTTGATATCTTTCACAACAACCTAGATATATGCTCTTAAAGTTTGAAAGTTAAGGGTGACGTTTTATTAGAGTGTTTACGGTATGCGTTCTTCTCTGATAGAACATTTTTTGAACATCTAAAAGTTCCAAATTTCAGTTTTGTTAAACATTTTGTTAAACAAAATTTGTTTTTCAATTTTCGAATTTTAAAGTGTGTTCTATTTAAAAAAAAAAACATAAACGCCTTATTTGAAAAGTACGAAGTTTTATTTTTCTCTAATTAAAATGTTTCTTTAGTTATTTCGAATTTTAAGTTGTGATCTATCAGAAAAAGTAAATTTTAAAATCTTATCACTATTTTTCTAGATAAATTCCATTGTATTCTCACAGTGGAGTAAGAAGCAAGAGCCCTCACAACAATCAAAACGAAAAGTGCTCAAAGCTGACATTTGAATTTCTATGGAATTGATTATCGATTTTTCCCAAACATGTGGGAAATCACAATATGTCCAATGTTGAAAAACGCAAAATGTCGAGAAACATGTGAAAAAATGGCTCTCAAAAATGTAATTCTACGAAACTAATAAGGAAAATAGCCGAATATTAGAATTTGTTACCCAACACTAATTTAGTTTTGAAGGAAAAAAAATTAATAAAATAAAAAAGAAAATGGCATGGGTCGAAGATACGAGAAATGAGTGTGAGGACCTAATGAATATTCATCTTCATTTCTCATTCTTAGCACAGACAGAGAACAAAAGCAATAACCTACCTAGTTGCTTCTTTTTTGGGTAGAATTTTTTGTTTTGAATAATTTTTTATTTTGCGTTTTCTCAGTTGAGAATCTTAGATAAATAGAAAATCAAACAAAATAAAAGAAATAGTGGGATTCAAAAATAATAAATGAACCCTAGACTAATTACTTAGACTTGTGAGAAAGTTGAGATGAAATTTCAATCTGTGTGGGAACGGAAAACAGAGAGAGAGAGAGCAACACAATTCAAATAAAAACCTAAAAATCTGACCTACTGAGCTTGGGTTTTAGATGTCAATTCGAGTCTCTAGAGAATTGAAAAAAATCGCTTTTGGTTGTCTTCTCACAAAATTATGGGGAGAAGTAGAAAAAGGCAAAAGTTTTTGTTTTTTGTGTTAGTACATTTCTTGTTAAATAACACAGAATTCGTAGAGTATTTAGGAATAAATTTGTCATCGAGACTACCACCTCCATTTACCTTCCTCCAATGTTTATATGCCAACGTCGTTTGTCTTATTCACTTTCTCCTAGACTAGCAGCTGCTACCAGTGAATCTCCACTTCTCGCAAAAACAGAAAAGCCAGCAAGTCAATAAAAAAAATATATAGCAAGAATAGAGGTAAAAATTTATAACCGATTAGGCTTCTTGCCATTCTCTCGCTCTCTCGCCAACTCAATTCATTTTACCTTTAAAATATGCACGTGGACACTCATGATCATTTCATTTTCTTGCTACCATAGCAACATCCGATTATTTCTCAAGCACTAATTTCTCTGGAAATATTGAAATTTATCTGAAAAAAAATGCTGTGAAACTGATTGACATCATCTTGAAATGCAGTCGGAGAGTAGAAGAGTTGGCTTAGTTTCAGTTTTCAGCTTCTTTTCTGTAAATTTTCAATCAAAAGAATGGTCAATTCAAAGCAAAAGATAATTTTTAAGCCTGTTCAAACCTCTCGAAATTTCGAACAAAAATGAGAAAAAAAAATTTCGGATGGAAAATTATGTATTAGGAAAAATAACGCAAAATAAAAAAACACAAGTTCAGGACTTCTTAGTGAATGACAGGATGATATAAGAAAAAATTACAGGAAAAAAAACACAAAAGATAACAAATCAATATTTAATTTAGCAACTGTTTACTCCGGCACATCTGAGCCTTCGACGGAGTACTTGATTCTTCTGAGTCCTTCGAATTGAGAAGACCAGAGCATATTCCAGTGCTCAATTGGATCCAGGTTGATCCGTTCAGTCTTCTTCGGAAACTTCTCTGAATCCTTGAACTCGCTGAAGGAGTGGCAGCGGCGGCGTGTTGGTCTCACTGGGTGGCTGGTTTCGAGACGTCCAAACTCGACGGTGGTCTTCCTACTGGCCCAGACGCGTCGCAAGGAGTTCTGGCGTTTCTCCTTGACATCAGAATAGACGCCTTCGGCTCCTTCTCGATTTTTTGGTTTGAAGAATGGGAGCCACTCTCGGATCTCGTCCTTCTCCATCGAGTTGTGGCATTCAAGGCGGAGCGCAGCGAGCTGAATTCTCTCGAGAAGATCTTGATCTTCTAACCTCATTCCCATTGCAACCGGCCACTCATTAAGAAGAACTGCAAGCATCTGCCGAGAAAGATCTGCAAAATTTATCATTTTCGAGTTATCCATTTGAAACAAAAACTCACCTATCATCTCCGGCTGCGGGACGTGGCAGGTTCCAGCCAAGTCTCCAAGATGCACTGGCAGCCAAAAAATCATGTTCTTCACCAGCTCGTATTTCGCATCGTTCGATCCGCCAACAAAATCAAAAATTACCGCTTCCCTCGATTGAAGAGGCACCGTCTTCATTACTGATTCCATCACGAAGAAGAAATATAAAACAACACGAGGATATTGCGTATCCGTGTGTTTAATTTTCCAAATCTTCAAAAGGAGAAGAAACTTGTCCACAATATATTCAACTTTGGCCATCCTGAAAATTGAGTTCATGATATATTTTTTCAATTTTTTAATGCGCTGGACTAATTTCTATCGGAAGTTCTTACTATACAACTCACTTCTTTGCTGAATCCAAGCGGCTGAATTCTGGCGTGAGATCCAGAAGTTTGTATTGTTTGCTTCCGATAGCCTCGACAAGCTTCGGAATGTTCTCCTTTGCTCCGAGTTCGTAGAATCGTTGTGGAAGCTTTTTTTGGATTTCCTGCTTCCAATCACTTGGCATTTTGTCGGCATAAGAAATGTCCAGACCGAAATCTGGTTGTTTTCCTGAAAATGAAAGACATTCAAAACTTTCTCACGATTTCAGCAAAACTCACCGACGCCAATATATCTTGCGTCGACCCATTTACAGCGAAATTCTCGAGCTTTGAAAAATGGGTCCGAGATGGAGCCAAAGTAATGCTTCTCCGAAAGCTTCGTAGCTTCTGTAGCAAACGCATGGATAGCTTTGAAATTTGGCGAAGTGCGGTAGTGATTCTCCAGCTGCTTGAAATACTCCGACTTCGTTCCTGATCTGGAGAATCTTTGAATCGGCACCAGATGAGAGATTGAGAAGTTGTTTGGTTCCTCGAACTTCTTGGAGGGAACACGAACTTGAACATCTGTTGCAATTGTTCTCTCCTTCAACATTTTGATGACTTCCTTCATTGATTTCTGTCTCCCGATAATGAACTTCTTGTCCTGGGCCTTTCGATGAGCAATTTTTCGAATCTCCAGATTGGCTAATGCATTGTCACTCCGCTCCTGTTCCTTCAATTCCTTCTGTTGCTCTCTCCATTTCTTGTCTTCACGTTTCTTCTGCTCCGTTTTTCTTCTCTTTTCCGATCGTTCGAATTCTCTAGAAATCTTGTCGGCATACTTCATTTCTTTTTTCATCTGAACAATCGATTTCCTTTTTTCACTTCTTCGAAATTTTTCAATTATTGCTTCCCGCTGCTCCGAGATCGACGGTTTCTTGTAAGTCTCCTCTGACTCAGAATCATCTTCGTTTTCAGACGCAGCGTCATCTTCGTCCATCTTCTCATCTTTCTCGTCATTTTCTACAGCCGCAGTGTTGACAAAGTTGCCCGTGTAGCGTGTTGGCCTGGTCGATGAGCTGAAAAACGAATTATTAAACTTCATACGTGCAACGGGTCGGGCTGAGCAAGGCAGAATTTTTAGGGAAGGGCCATTGAAAAGCCGGCCCAGTGTTTGTACTGAAGCTGATTTGTTTGAATTTTTTCTCGCAAATTTTAAAATTTCATTTTCTTCAAAAAAATACGTCTCATCAATTTTTCGTTGGAAATTACAAAATGAGTACGGCGGCCTGGTCCGGCCTGGTATGTTGCAAATATGATTTTCTTCCGTTTTTATTTATCAAATTTATTTTTGAAGTTCTCAAAGAAAAAGTTTTTTGCTAAATAATACCCCAAAACCCGATTATTTTCAAAAAAAAAAAACTTTTTCACAAAAAAAATTGGAAAACTTTCCTGAAATTTCAACTTGTTTTTTAGATTTTGAAAACACGGCCTCTGATTTTTCAAGTATGCAAAAATTGACTAGAATAAAAACTCACCGAGCGATCAGAAGCTCATCTTCACGATCCTCGTCAAAAATGGGAAGGGTAAAAATGTTCCTCGGAGTTCTTTGCTTCCTCTGTTTCACACTGTTTGATGTTGAGAGCAGCTTCGGAGTATATTGTGCTGGAGTAGCCAAAGCAGGCAATGAAGACGAAGATGGTCCAGCAAAGTCTGGAGTAGCAATCAAGAAGTTTGGCAATTTGGTGGGAATTTTGGGCTTCAATGAAACTGAACTCGATGCTGATCCTATCCCGATTGAGAAATGTTTCCTTTGTGGTGTTTGTGACGTAAGGATTGGAAACAATTTTCTCCATTCTTCGGTATATACGTTTCCTTGATTTTCAGAAGTTCCACAAGTTGATGTACTGTCCATCTGCTCATTTTTTCCGTTTAACGACGATTCTTCTTGCACAAGCTGAGGAGCTTCGGTCGATGCTTTTGTAGCATCCAGTGTTGACTGACGAGACAGAATGCCATCTCCTTCAGAAGCAGCTTTCTGACTGGTAGAAGGGAGAGCAGCTGATGATGTTGCCCTCTTCTTATCATTTTCAACAGCAGCCTTGACAGAGCTGCTCGTGGGTCCGGTTGGCTTTGTCGATGATCTGAAATAAAAATCGTTGACAAAATGTAAGAAAGATTTTAGAACCGCGAAAAAGCATTAATTCCAATACGCAAAAAATGTCTGAAAGAAAATTGTCTGAAAGAAAAAACTTACCGAGGAAGAAAATCCTCCGCATCAAGATCTGGGAAAACATTATGCCAATTGATAAGAAGCTTCCATGGAGTTTTTTTCTTCGAAGAATCCTTCTTTGCAGCCTCTTTCGATTTCTCAATTTTGGGGATTTTTGGCTGAAGAACCGACATTTTTGGTAGAGGATCTCCTGATGTAGTACCACCATCGGCCGGCAGTGCGGCATTTTTTGGTCCAAAAGAATCCGTATTTTTTGAAGAAGAAGACGAATCCTTGGTATTTGAAGCACATTCGTCACGGGCACCAGACATCTTTTCGGCGAATGTGCTTTTGCAAAGCCTTGCTGGCATTGTTCGGGAAGGAGTCTTGGTGACTTTATGCTCCGAAGCATCTTTCGAAGATGTGGCCTCATGGTCTGTCTCCGTTTTGGACAAATTGGGAGCAACATTCTTCGCTGTAGCAGCTACCACGGTGTTTTTGTTTGCAAGAAGAGCAGCCTCGACGTTGCTCCTAGAGGCTCCAGCATCAATTGCTTCTTTGGTCGATCCTTGCCGGCGACTGAAAATGATAGTATTTGGATTTTTTCGATTACCTTACTTTTTACATAATTTTATATTTTTCTAAGATCTCAACAGACGATTTTTAAATCGTTTGTGATAAATTCGAGATTTTTGAAATTTTGTATGTTAGAAAATTAGAAACATTTTATTTTTAGAAGTTTTTATATTGTTAGATTTCAAACTCTTCAGATTTCATGTCTCGAAATTTTCAAATTTCAAGATTCACAATTTTTGTGATTCTCATTTTCTTAAATTTCTGAGGTATTAAAATAATTATTTTCTGCATTATTTTGAATTTCATCTCGATGTTCATCATTATCTTTATTTCTCTAGATTTTTTAGGCAATGAGTATGTGATTCAAAAATGGGTCCGTAGAGAACATGGTGACACAATGGTCGGAGAAAAGGGGTCACGGTGGCCATGTTCGCTCTGACGATCGATTGGGAGGGGTATCTCCTGCTCCTCAGGTTCTCTGATGGGGACATCAGATGGTGACATGTCCTATCAGAGAATCCCTGAACTACGAGGGACCCGAAAAATTATGCATACACACACTTTTTGACCTTTTCGGCTTTTTAAAGAACTTTTTTGACATTTTTCCTTGTTTACATTTCTTTTCAAAATCCGTTGGGATTAACCAAACGATTAGTTTTTCTCCAATAATGTTTTCGATTGTATTTTCAATAAGATTTTAACAAAAATTTCAAAATTTACCCTGCAGTGTTTGCTCCAGTCGCATTTTCCGGCGGTTTTCCGTTGGTGTTGGATACAGCACAAGCACGTTTTGGGCGGTTGTTCATATTTTTACCTCAAAAATGATAAAAGGTTACGTTGGAAGACAAAAGATTAATGAATAATCCGATAGACAAGAGAACAACTCGCTGAAAATGAATAAACACACACTACATATTTCAAAATGAAACAATTGGCGGGGGAAAGAAGTGCAGTAGGGCGAACTGACCTCGGCCGTCTGTTCTGGCAATCGGGCGATTGGTGGAGGAAGAGATAGGTACTTACTTGAAGAGACGCAGAAAAAACAGAACGCCGATTGCAAAGGCAAAATGATGGTGGTGGTGGGCAGCCGGTGTAGACTGTGCGATGACGTCACTTAGAAAAAGGAGGTGTGAAGAGATGGCGGACCCACGTTGAGGAATAGAGACTATTATTGATCGACATTGGAAGAAGAGCACGGACCACCACCCCTTGCAAAACAACGTGTACGAGGTTTATAGGGAAAGAAGAGTATGAGACAGAGGGTGAACAACAGCACTCCATACGGGAGATCATCAGAAACAATTAATAAACAGAAAAATATGAATTGTAGACACAGTGCTAACCATTTTCAAAAATGTTTGCAAAAAGAAGTGAAAATTTCGTTAACATGTGTTTAACATTTCTGGCCAACGATTGACCCAAATTTTCCAAAAATTCGAAATTTTGAAACTGCAGTAACTTTTATTCATTTATCACCAACTTTGTTTAGTTTCTTGGATTTTTTTTGAAATTATGAGCTTCTAATTGAACTAAACAAAATTTTAAAAATACCGAGTTTTTCAATTTTCGTGGTGGGACCCAAAACTTTTGAAAATTTCCAAATTCGCCCAATCTAGGCGTGTTTGAGCTCATTTTAGATTACTAATTAGGTCAAAACCCAAAATGAAAAATTCAGAAAAAATTAATGAGAATCAAAAAGGTTCCGGCTGTTCTAAAATTTTTAACGAATTCAAAATTTTTGAACTACCGTAACTTTTTCTATTCATGACCAATTTTGCTGAAGTTTTCTGGGGGTTTTGAAAGATCCAAAAACTTTGAAAGTTTCAAAGCTTATCCAAGTCTAGGCGTGTTTGAGCTTTTTTTTGAAACGCCATCTATGCCAGAACCGAGTAATAAAAATTCAGATTAAAAAGTTAATGAAAAACCTGGAAATAAATGCTGAAAATAAAATGAAATTTTTTCAATGCATCGCACGTTTACTGTATTTGTTAGTCCGTTTTAACTAAAACCGTTTTTTCCGACATGCTATTTCAAGGTATAGTTCTCAAATTTGGAACTTTTCTGTTCATTAATTGTTGTTTTGAATGAACCAAGAAACAAAATAAAACCCAAAATGACAAAACGTACATTTTTCGAGCTTTAAAACTCGTTTTTCAGGATATTTATTCTCAAATGCCAAACTCATTTTTGAACATTTCTCTATCATCTAAAGTAGTTTTTGAACACTATCTGAAAATGTTTTTTGAAAATTAAAATTGATTTTTCGGAATTTTTTTTGAAAAGTTCTGAAAAAATGAAAATAGCAAAAAAAAAATAGCAAAAATGAAAATAGCATTCTCGCAAAATTTGACATCCCAATTTCGTTTTTGGAAGGAAAATTTTCGAAAAAGTTTTGGTTGCCAGAACTTTTACAACTTTCAACTTCTTAAATATTGCTTGAAATTGACTGAAATTTATAGAAATCGGTTACAAAATTGTATGTGATCGACTTAGCAGTACTACATCTCGAAAAGAGCAAAATTGAGAAATTTCCAGAGGCTAAAAGTTTTGTTTTTCAACTGTAAGATAATGTAAGGACCGGGCGAAAAGAATATTATTAAATTTTTCATCAAGTTCACATAAATCTTTTTTACTGTGAATAGCTGGTAACTTCATCAAACAAGTGTCATCAAATGTCTAGAAGGCTAAGCTGGAACTCAAAAATTCATTTCGAAAAAAGCAAAAAAGGTTTACCAGAGTGGGGTTCGAACTAGCATATTCACTGCTAATGACTCACCCTCTTACCGCAACACCACACAACCGATATTTTCCTCTGGCGCGGAGGGCGTAGAGGTGAGAGGGAAAATGCGCGCCGAGATCGGGAGAAAATTTTCAGATTTCCAGCTTCCTGGTGAATCCGGGGGCTAGATACTTCTGACATCGTGTAGAGGATGTCTCAAACTATAAGTACTAAACTTTTCAGCAAATTCTCAACCCCCGTCTGGAACCACTTCCCTTGTTAGTGCATTTCCGGTCACTGGCCTTTTCGTCTTGGGTTATCACGATTTGGACTTTCCCACAATCACACTCTCCATGGTGATATAGAAAATAACAAAAACTTTTTCATCGTAAGTTGTAGTGTCTAAATGTTTTTGAATCGGATCTGCTCAGACTTTCCCAAATGCTCTCAAATTTTCTGGACCGTTCAGTTTTGAACATTTTTGAGAGAAATTTGTGCTGGTAATGATACCGTTTGATAGCGATAGCATTACTGTGATAGCGTTACTCTGACAAACTCTTAAATTTTTGGATAAGAATCATAATAGTACAACTTCCCTCCGGGACTAGTTGGATTGATACAAAACACTGATGATATACTGAAAAAATCACGGCCCGGCCCACGTGCGGGAAAATCACAGGAAATTGAAAAATGAAAAAATGCCGGTCCGGCCTTTTGCAGATATGATTGAAAACGTCATTGCAAACAAAAATATACCAAAAATGTCCTTTTCGTTGGATTTTTCCAATTTCCTTTTTTAGTGCGTTTCCGGTCACTGGCCTTTTCCTCTTGGGTTATCACGATACAGGTTTTCCCATAATCACACGCTCTGTGGTCGTAGAAAATGAAAAATTTTCATGTTTCTTCACATACATTTTTTGGCACCTGATACGCAGCTTTTCTCAAAAAGCTGTTGGCACAATCTTCTCTGTTCTTCATGAAAAACGTTAAAATTTGTATTTGCTTCACTTGACCATCTTAGAATTGTACAACACACGTGCGTAATGCTAAACACAAAATTTCACATCTACATCATGTTCAGAACGATTACATTCAGTTTTTTTGTTGTCAATTTTGCATGATTCATTTTTTCCCGCGTTTGACTCGACTAACCTCTAGGATGACGCACTGGTACGGTGTAACTCCAATACATCGGAAGATGGTTCAAGCGAAATCGACCTACGAGTTTTCTCCTCGCTCTATTCATTCACTTTTCAAAATCTTTCCTTTCTCATTTTTTTTAAATTTCGCTTGGGCTTCTAACAGTTCCTTGATTCTTTGTGAATTGATTTTCCACTCACTATTGTTTGACATTTACTAAACTGAACTTCTATTTATTATTCAGATGTGTAAGAAACAACCGGAAGGAAACCAACAAGGGGAGGAGAAACACTGGATGCAAGTTATTCCTGGACCGAATCTAGATGGAACGTGGTCATGCATTGGCGAATTCGTTCGTCCAGAGAACCCAAATGATATTGGTCAATACATTGAGTTTCTTTCACCGGGTCCTGATGAATTTCATTTCCCGAGTCCTGAAGCTTTCCTCAAAGCATGCCGTGAAGGAAAAGTGAAAGGCCATGGACCAGATGGAAATTCGTGAGTTGCTTTTGTATTTGATGAAAGCGCACATATTAGTCATATAAGGCTTTGTTTGGATACTAACGGTAGTCAGGTTTCGAGCACTCATGCTAGTCTATAGATGTTATATACAAATGATTATGAAACGATTTTCGCCATAAGTTTATTTGTTCCTACCAATTTGAAATTCATTTTCAATTGAATTTTCAAAAAATTTTTTTCTTGAATTTTATATAGAATGTGGATTTTTTAATGTATTTGGCACCAGTTAAAATTTTACTTTTTCTCACTAAGTTGCATATATTATTTAAAGGAAATGCAATTAAAAGGCAATAATTGTAAGATTCGAATGGAAGCCCTCTCTAGCCGTCAACTTTAAGCTCAATCATCTCGATTTCTATCAAAGATATAAAAATGGTGTCAACTGATAAAATATTTTCAATTTTATGATAAATGCTTTATCAGTTGACAAACTTTCAATATCTTATAAATGAAAGGAGATAATTGAGCTTACATTTGCCGGTCACTGTTTTTTGTAGTTGCCAACCATCTTTAATTTAGTATTCCCAACTCTGAGAGACACTTTGAACATCGGGAGGGGACTCAATCAAAGGAGGAGAAACACTGGATGCAAGTTATTCCGGGACCGAATCTAGATGGAACGTGGTCATGCATTGGCGAATTCGTTCGTCCAGAGAACCCAAATGATATTGGTCAATACATTGAGTTTCTTTCACCGGGTCCTGATGAATTTCATTTCCCGAGTCCTGAAGCTTTCCTCAAAGCATGCCGTGAAGGAAAAGTGAAAGGCCATGGGCCAGGTGGAAAAACGTGAGTTGATTTTACATTTGATGGAGGCGCACTCATTAGTCATATCATTCGCGCATTCATGCTAATTTATTATTTTTAACATGTATTAAGAAAAAAAACCTTTGGAATAATTCTTGTTACAAGCCTAAACTTAGCTACTAATTTGAAAAAAAACTTTGATAGAATTTCCACGAATTTTTGCAGAAATTTTACCTAGAAGGTGGATTTTTCAAATTCCTCAATATCAGTGACCAATTATAGTTTTTTCACCAAATCGCATGTTTGGTTTGTAAAAATGTCACTGAAAGTCACTGCCTGGAAAAAGTTCCCCGAATGCCGTGTCTCCTCTGATTAAAGCCCGATAGGGGCCAGAAGCCTTAATTCTTTTCAATATCTCACACAGGAATCAAGTTAATTGAGCTCAAAATTGTGAGTTTGGGTGGGCTTCTATCAGTAGAAATTCGGTAGTTCTGATTGACAGTCCCAAATTAGATGTTCCGAACCTGACTTGAAATTCAATTTGTATTAATTTCGTTGTTACCATAGGCAAAGTAAGGCAAACGTTTGTCTCCTCTTTTTTCTATAAAGTTTCCCCATAGCATACAATTTGGACAGTCGGCGCATGTTTCCTTTTTCTCGCGCTGAACATGTGGACTTTGCGGTAATTTTTTGTCAAAAGAATGATAAGTGGGACATCTGGAACAGGTGGGAAACTCACGAATCTTCTTTTGAATCCTTTTGATGCTGAAGTGTTTTCTCAATTTTTTAAATTCTTTGAAATCGGAGGCCATATTCATCAACAATTTCCTGGGAAAATTGTTTCTTTTCAGAAAATCAACTGAAAACGTGAAAATTAATAAAAATCTTTGACTTTTTTGGAAAATTCTCTTATTTTCATGTATAGTAATGAATATTTCTTCTGAAAAAAGCCTGGCCCGGCCCGTTTCAAGTATAAATAAAAATGACATGAATTGATAGAGCTAAGAATTTTAAGTGTTGTGTATTTTAATATTGTTGTACATTTTCACGCTCCCATTTTCCTTTCGGAAAATAATTAAGTTGATTTTTGAATAGGAAATGATTTTCCAAGGAACATGTCCATGAATATGGCCTTTGCTGAAAGAAAAACAACAAACATTTTAAAAATGATGGTCAGATTCAGGTTATCTAAGTGATTATTTTGATTTCAGCTTGGATCCCGTTCGTCCTCAAATCTCTAGAAACTCAATGTTTGAATCCGACGAAGAAGAAGAGCGTCTACCATCACACCGAGTTTCGAAACTTAGAATGAAGAAGAGAAGAAACAACGGAGAATGTGGACCAAAGCGCAACTACCGTAGGAAAGATCAAGACGATAAAGATCGCGATGAAAACAGTCAAAACTACCAGCATTCGTACTGCACTGGCTCCGCTGTGAGACGTATGATGTATGTTTGTTTTTGCTTTTAATTTTGTTAGATGTGATATTAGCTATTTTGCAGAAAAATTTTTCCATTTTTCAGCAACACCTAAACGGACACTTCTTTTCTGGACATCCTTCTCAGAGATCTACACCTGTTTCCCCCAGAATCCATTTGATTGCTCGGTTCTTTTTAACTTCAACCATTTATTTTAAAATTTCGCTAAAAATTATTTATTGATACTAAAAATTATTTATTTATGACTATAATTTGTAACTTTTTAATGAGAACGTGAATAAATACTTTTTTTCCAGAGAAACTGTTCAAACTAATGAAGGTCTGTCATCAAGATCCCAAAAGTATTTCCGTCGCTCGATTAAATTTTTCAGTTGGTTACGAGCGTTGATTATGAGCTGTCTGATTTTACGTTCATCGAGTGACAAAGCATTAGCGAGGCGTTCAATGTCCTCTAGGATGTCACCTGGGTGTGACCAATCGTTTTGCATGTGTTGAATTAGATATTGTTTCTGAAAAAAATATAATTTTTTAATATGACCAAGCCCGCAGCCGACCGGTCGGGCTGACTAGGGAACCATGTTTAGCCTTCATCTCAGATTTTTTTTCTAAGTTTGCTCATTTATAGTTTCAAATACGGACTTTCTCGTGGTGTATTCGGTTTTCTGCACAAATTTCTAGAAGCCGAGAAAAGTCCATCTGAAAATATACTGTTTTTTTGGTCTCCTCCTTCCCTTCCACTTTCCCCCCTTTCCTCTATATATTTTCCACTGTGGAAGAAACGAGCAACAGTGGCCGAGTAGATAGTGGGGGATGAATAGTAATCACAAGTTTGGGGTTCGATTTCGTCACTGTCCATTTTCTTTTTTCTTTTTTTTCTTTGATGTTGGAGGAATGCTTTGAACTTTTCGAAAATCAAAACTATGTTTGCTCTATTATTTCAGTAGGAAAAAAGCTCAAAAAAGATAATTTCTGAAAAATTCTTGAAGCACTGCTGAAAAGCCTTATCTACTCAAAATGTTAGTCGAAATCCCCCTATTTGATCATATTGGTTGCTGAACTGTTATAAATCAGTCAAGAAGTATGTAAATCTATGTTTTCACAATATTTGAGTGCTATTGGGTGATTTTCGAAGGACTACGATTCATTGAAGTTTTGGAAGAAATCACTTATTTCGGATTTCAAAACGGATATAGGCTACAGAATCTTGTGAAAAGACTCATTCTATCATTTTTATGCGTTTAGAATTCATTTTAGCACATTTAAAAAATTTTCGAAAAACTGAAAATTTCGCAAAGGGGTACCCATGGCAAAAATTTTTTTTTTCGAAAAATGAGGAAACTTTGTCAGATTGTAGAGAAACCTTTGAAATTGCGACTGACACTTAAACAATGCCAAAAAACTCCCATTAACCCTTTCAAAAACTCACTCCAAAAATGAGAAATTAGTACTGAAATCACCTAAACAGCCCATAACTCCACTTCTAGAAATTTGTGCAGAAAACCGAATACATCAAAAGAAAGCCCGTATTTGAAACTATAACTGAGCAAATTTAGAAAAATGTCTGAGATGAAGGCTAAACATGGTTCCCTTGTGAGCTATCTTAGAATATTTTTAGCCTAGAGAGTATTTTTTAGGTCTTTTCAAATGATTTCTCGAGTCAATAAGTAAGAACAAAGTTTTTGTAAAATGAAAGTTTGCAAAAAATCATTCGTCAAAAAAATTTGTGAACAAAATTCTGAATTTTCAGAATGTTCTCAAGGGACCCTTATTTTTGATTTATAGAAACCTGACATTATGAGAAAACTTACTTGATATGGAAAAAGTGTGGAAGTGTTGACTTTGTCCCAGGCTTCAGCAATTGTTTTTTTCATGACCTCGAAAGAAGGTACTTTTCGTGTCCAGAACTGAAAATATGGAAATAGACGTTTTTAGAAGATAAGGCCCAGGAAATGTACATAAGTATAGCATAAGTACGGTGAATAAAGTTTACAAAAACGTATTTATCAGTTGATTTTCAGCCATTATCAGTAGTATGGAGCTCGGCTTCCAAGTTTCCTACGTTTGGAAATGTAAAACAGTGTTTGGAAATGTAAAACAGACCTAGACTGAAAACTTTGCATTCACAGAATTTTCTGAAAATGCCTAGTTTTTCAGTTATTTGTCGATCTCTATGAGACACCTGTATTTTCAACTTTTCGAAACGATAACAAAAAAGGAGCTCTTCCAAAACTTGGTAAATAACTGAAAAACTAGAAATTCTTTAAAAATTCTGAAAATGCAAAATTTTCAATCCATCCTTCAAAATTTCTAAAGTGATTGGACACTTCAAAGGCTTCGGAAAACGGTCAAAATTACCGTAAAAATTCTGTGAATTTTAAAGACACCCTTCGAAACACCCTTCGAAATTTTCAGTGATCGGAAACTTGACAGCCAAGCTCCAGACGTTTGAAAATTGCGAAACTAAACTAAAAAATATGTTTCTCTGAATCTTATTGACTATTGCTATATAAGATAACCACTGACCGGCATGATCATCCGTTTTTCCGACATGCTTTTCATGTAGTTATAGAACACTTCTGGGTCGTACTCTTTTTCTTTGGCGTCGAGGTCCGCTTGGAGACTAACTGTAGCCATAAGCAATGCAGTTGTCGTTTCGTGGCTGATTTTTACTGTTCTCATCTGGAATTTTTCGCATTTTCTGGAAGATGAAATTTGAAAACTCACCAAGATTTTGTAGCGTTGCAAATCTTTTATGATCTGATCCGTGCTTTCTTTTCTCATTTTAGCCATACGCATTTCGAGAATAGCATTTCTATGAATGATGGGATAGTCTGTCAGCTGAAAAGATTTAGCGAAATGTTTTTTAATTCTCAAAAAAATTGATTCTAGATTATTGAAACACTCATTAAATCACTCACACAATGTTTGATCTTCCAGTTTTCGAAACTGCTTAGGATTTCAGTGTGTCTCCTTTTATTGAGGGTCACTGGCTCTGGTTCTGTTGGAGTGCTCGTTGTTGGCGTATTGGCTGCGGATGAACTGCTTGCTGGAACGCTTGCTGCAGCAGAACTTATTGCAGGAGCGGTGGGAGCAACTGGGGCGTCTTTATCAGCAATCAGAGAGCTTGGACTCAAATTCGACACTGGTAACATGCTAGCAACATAACGACGTTCAGCTTCTGCATCATACACCACAATGCAATCGGAAGAGTTTTCTTCGTCTCCAAGTTGAGATCTTTTTTGAGCCTCAATTCGTCGCTTCCTGCGTCTATGTCTTGGAGCGGCAGATGCTTCCGGTTTTTTGAAAATAGGTTTCTTTGGACGGGGCATCCAGGTATCATCGGGTTCTGTTGTCATTTCAATTGTTTCGTATTGCGGTGGTTCAGGACTTGGACTATCACGTGGAATTCTTGGAAATGGCAGAGGCTTGATAAATTGGGGATCACTGGTTAATTTGAAAAGTTCCATGAGGGGATTTTTAATATCTAAAGGCGCTGGTGGTGGTAGTGACTGAGATTCAACTATTGATGTAGAAAGAGGTGTCGATCTGGAGGCAGAAGTAGGTGTTCCATTAACGAGGCATGAGATGTATCGAAGTACCAAATCTTTCAAATCGGAATCAATAGTTTGGTTAGGTTCGTTCAGGGCTGAGAAGATCGAGGTAGATTGGTTGAAAAGTGACAAGTTTGAGAGATCCATTTGGGGAGTTGTTGATATCATGGTATTTCTAAAAAATTGAAATTTGAAAAAAACACAGTGAGAGAACGAGTAAAAGAAATCAAGGAATACGGCGAACAATCAGAAAAGGATGTGGTGTAATATTAGGTTGGCGGGAAAGTCTTTGTCACTTTTTCAATAGTTTATTTCTCAAAGAAAAAATAACCGAATAATTAATTATATTGTCCATCATTATCAACAACATGTCTCCAACGTTCCCTCAATTTATGGATTCCATTGCGGTAGAATCCAGCCGGGCGTGAGGCAAAGTATTGTTTGAGTGCCGCTTCGACCGCTCCACGGGAATTGAAGCTTCTTCCTTCGAAGGCACGTGTCATATCGCCAAATAACCAATAGTCGGAAGGAGCAAGATCAGGAGAATACGGGGGGTGAGGGAGAACATTCCATCCATATCCCATCAGCTCCTGCTTCACTTGTTTCGAAACATGTGGGCGAGCGTTATCATGTTGATAGTACACTTTCTTGTCTTTCAGGGCCGAACGGTCGACTGCTTTCTTGAGGTTTCGTAGTTGAGTAGTGTAGAGGTCTCCAGTTATTGTTTTGCCCTCGGGCAGAAGTTCCCAGTAGATGGGGCCGTCCACTCCCCACCACACAGAGAGCATAACTTTTTTCGGATGAAGGTCGGGTTTGGGGACATCCTGTGGGCTCTCTCCTTCTCCAACCCACTGGGATTTCCTGTGGTGATTATCGTAGAAGACCCACTTCTCATCTCCGGTTATTAGCCGGTCCAGCCATCGATCGCCCGCGTGGAGAGTGAGAAGAGTAATCGAATCGTCGACTCGGCGGTCAAGGTTGGCTTGAGTCAGGTGATGACGTATGAATCGACCAAAAAGTTTTCTCATTCCAAGAGACTTCAAACCTTCAAGGACTGTGCTATGGTGAACTCCGAATGTGACAGCTAGTTCACGGCTAGATTGAAATGGATCCAATTGCAATGCGTGCTTCAGCTTGTCCAAATCCAACTCACGGGGTCTCCCAGAGCGATCCTTTTCATCGAGCGAGAAGTCATCTTTTTCGAAACGATGGAACCAATTGCGAATAGTATTGTAGTGAGGGGCATGTGTGTTGTACACATTCTTCAAGAAAGTTTCCGAATCCTTCATCGTGGTGTGAGATAGGAAGAGGTAAATCGAAACATGTCTGATGTGAATAGCAGTGGGAACAAACATATCGTTTCAATTACAGATGAGGAGCAGGGAAGGAGATGGGGACTTGTTTATATGGAAGGTTCTTATCACCTTGTTATTCACTAGAGTCGATATCATACACAGCCTCCATATACGAGAACAGTGATTAAACAAACAGAGTGACAAAGACTTTCCCGCCAACCTAATATAAAACTATGAAAATGCGGGTTTGTTTTGTTTTCATTCTAACACTAAAAGTGATTCAAATGTTATGAGGTATGCGCTTTGAAAGAGGGCATAATGAACGTAAATGGAGGAGAAAAACTAGAAATGATCAAGTTTTTTTTTATTCTAGACCGTTTTGCAGAAGAATTTTGAAAATCAACCTTAAAAGTTGAAAACTAACAGGGCAATTTCAACACCCCGTGATTCAGACTTTGACAAAAACTTCAGGGAAAAATTGCAGAACTAGACAATTTTTGAAAATTATGAAAAATTCGCGTTTTCAGTAAAAAAATCAACGACTTTCAAAAACGATTATTTTTCAACTTCTAAAACGTTTTGAACAAACCATATGTTCTGTTATATCGATATTGCATACTTGCGGACGGGCCCTGTCATAGTTTCTTTTAGGATCAATATTTTTGACTAACTAAATTAGATATGATAGAACTCGACGAGCACTACAAAATGATATTGTTCGGGACACTGTATCATGTTTGTGAACAAAGTTAGAATTCCACCAC